CCAATTCCCCAGGGGATGTGTCCAAAGGCAACTCCATCCACATGGGCAACCTCAGACAGATGGGCAGCCTCAGCCCCTCCTTGTGACAACAGCCAGGGCCGGCAGGGAGCCAGTGGGAATTTCTTGAGCACCTTCATCTGTGACTTAAGACACCTGTGTTTCAGGTTTGCCAAAAGGGCATGAAAGCAGAAACCAATGGGAGAAGCTCAAACCTCATGTCGTGGGAGCAGAGGCAGCGAAAAACTGTGGGGACGCCCAGTAGCGCTCCTTACACTCGACATGGAGTATGAAGATCATGAACTTCCGGGAGCCCAAGGAGAAGGCGCAGGAGGTGGGCCAGGAGCCGACGCAAACGGCGGCCAGCGCGAGGGGAGCGGGAAAGCCTCGCTGCTGTGTCCGCAGAGGCCTGGCCGCAGTGCCTTGAGGATGGAGCAGCCCAAGAGTGGCGCCCTCTCTCCACGGAGTTTCAGGCAGTGGAGAACGCGCCCCCGCGGCCCTCTAAGATCCCTGCAGCCTAACGTTCAAAGGCTGCCAGGAGCTTCCAGGGAGACAGGAGGAGAGGGGCCACTGTGTCCCCACCTGGGCAGCCTGTAGACACCTCGGGGGTGTGGCTATCTGTGTTTGTGCTGGGGCCGCCCGGGCCTCGCAGCCTTGTGCCCGCTGTGCCTCCACGCTCGCGGGCCACGGCAGTTGGGGTTTCCAAATGGCAGTTTGCTAACGTCTCAGAACTTTAACGGATTCTTCCGGGAAAAGCCTCACAGGGGACTTTTACTGAGGGGCCTCACTAGCATTGATCGCCCACCAATGTGAAAACGGGTTTAGAGTTTATCCTAAGAGAGTTGGGTGCCGCTGGTATTCCAAGACACTCACTGCGACTGCAGGTTGGAAAATGAATGGGATCAACAGCTGAGCTTCCCTTGTCCTTCAAAGTGGCTTTAACCCAGGGATTGGAAGGAGGGAGGCAGCAAGAGGAGAATCAGCTCAAGTGTCCTTGGCTGCTGTGTGACCTTCTCTGGCTTGTCATTTTCCCCACAATTTATTCCAGGACACAGAAACAGGAGGATGCTTTCCCCACTTGTTCTATGTACTGACACAATGGTGACACTAAAAATCAAAACAGGACATTCTGAGAAAGGGAAGTTAACACATGGATGCATCACAACCACAACAAAAACCAAACACCCCTCAAAGCATAGCAAACAATCCAGCAGTGTGTGTGTGTAGGGACACTATATCAAGACCAAACTGAGATTAATAAGGAACTCAAGGTTGGTTTATCACTTGAAAATCAATTAATGTAAGCCATCTCTTTAAAAGATTAAAGGAGAAACATCATATAATCATCCCAATAGAGACATCAAACAAAGCTTTTGTAGAAATTCTACGTAGTTTCCATACTGCAGGTCCCAGCGAGTGCAGAAATGGAAGGAAAAGAAAGAAACGTGTGAGGGCTGGAAAGGAAGACATGAAGCTGTCATTATCCATAGACTGTAGTTCGCTATGCAGAAAACCCAAAATCATTTACTGAAAAATATTTAAAATTGAAAAGTTTTATCAAGGCTGCTAGATAGCCAATCTACAAAAATCAATTTCCTTTCCCTGTATCAGTTATAAACATAAACAATTAAATTTTTTAAAAGATGCCATCTACATCATCAAAAGTTATGAAGTTACCTTGAAATAAATCTACAAGAGATGTGCAAGTCCTATGGGAAAAATTTAAGAACTTTCTTTGAAAACACTAAATATAAGACAACTATTTGAAAAGATGTTTGGGCGTCATGAATAGTAAAACTGTGTTATAAAGATATCAGCCTCTCCGCCCCCACCCAATTGGTGTAGAGTTTCAAAGCAAGTCCAGATCAATTCAAGGAGTTTCTTTTATGGAACTTGACTCATGGGTGTTAAAATGTATATAGAAGAGCCAAGTGCACCAAACAGCACTTCCCGAAGAAGAACCAAATAGGGAGGATTTATCGATTAAGACATGGTGATCCACATGGAGGGATAAACAAATGGAGAGCCCCTAAAACTATTCTGCAGTTGCACCTCCCATTTTTCTCTTAAACCCGCTCTAATGAGGCTTTGCCCCTCCCCACTGCATCAAAGCTTCTCTTAACGTCATCAGTGATCTTGACAGTGACCTAGATTCAATCGTTAATTCGCAGTCCTCAACTGACCTGACATACTTTCTCAAATCATGTGCTTTCCCAATCCCACACTCTCTTGGTTTTTCTCTTACCTCAGTGATCACCTCTTCTCCATCTCCTTTGCTCGTTCTTCCTCTTCTCCCCAAACTTTTATTAGTGTTGGGATTTCCCATGGCCCCATCTTCAATCTTCTTCTCTATACACATTCAGTTTCTAGGGTCCTCTGGTCTCAAGGCGCTAAATACTATCTCTACATTCTTGAGTCCCAAATGTTAAACACCCCACCAGACTAGACTTGGACGTCCAACTGCCCATTTGACATCTTCACTTGGATGTCCAATATCTCGAAAGTACCATGTCCAAACTGAACTTCTGATCTTTGTCACCCCACCAAACCTGTTCCACCCAGGGTCCTTCCAGTCACTCAGACCAAATGTCTTGCGGTGATCCTGACTCCTGGCTTTCTTTCACACCCCGTGTAGAATCTATCCGGGACTCCTGTGGACTCCACTTTCAAAATAGACCCAGAATGTGAACTGTTTCTCACTACCTCCACTACTGCCACCCGAGTTTGAGACCCCCATCCGTTCTTCTCTGGATTATTCTTACAATAAGGATCTTGCTTCCAACCTTGTTCCCCTATAGTCTATTTTCAACACAGCAACAAGAGTGATCCCTTTAAAAAGTAAGTCAGATCATGTCAGTCCTCGCTCAAAACCCTTCAAGGGTTCTGTTTCCTTCCCCCTGAAAGCCAAATGCCTTTGTGCAAGGCCTTGTCTGATCTGGTCTCCACCTCCTGTTCTCTGACCTCTTTTCTTACTACCCTGCTCCAGCCACACGGGCTGCTGGCTGTTCCTCACGGCTGCCAGGGAAGCTCATTCCTTAGGGCCTTTGTCCTGGATGCTGCCTTTGCAGGGGACACTTTTCCCCAGGGACCTTCCTGGCCTGCTCCCTCACCTCCTCCAAGTTTTTACTCTGATGGCATCTTCTAAAGAGACCTACCCTCCCCATCCTATTTACAATGGCACGTCCCCTCCTCCACCCCACATACCCAAGACTCTCCACCCCTTTTACTCTGCTCTGTTGAAAAAATAGCACTTAGCACCTAACATCTTTTAATAGACTATATTATTTGCTTATTATGCATATTTATTATCTGTCATCCCCTACCAGATGTAACACAAGAATAGGGATGTTTGTTTGTTTTGTTGACTGATGTTTCTTAAGAACAAAGAACAGTGCCTGGCTCATATTAGGCACTCAGCAATTATTTGAATGAAAAAAAGCACGCAGGAAGGTAGAGGATAGGGTGGAATGGAATCAGGAGTGTCACAGATGGAAAGGTAATGTTGAATTTCTTAAACTAGTGATAGGTTCATAAAGGTGCCCTTTATTTTTTAAATTTTACAGATACCTATATGTATGTATGTATATTGGCTTATGATTAATATTTAATAAAATGGTAAAAAAAAGAATTTGATTGTGTATCCAAATTGACTTACTCCCGAACGGTTCCAGAAAGCTGTGTTTCCACTGTACCTAGGATGTTATCATCACTGGACAGAGGATATCATTGTTTCCATTGTCTCTTCTTTCTTTTTGCTCCGGAGACAAGACACCCATGTGTCTGGCATCCAGTCAGGGGAAGACAACCCAAGACAAGAACATGCTTTGAAAAGACTCCTTAAAAGAACATTCTAGACTTCTAGAATAAAACAGAGCACAGTATACCTTTTCCCTTCCCTTCTCCTGATTTCTTACAATGACTATAATGCCAAAATGTCTCCACTGCAGATACACACGGATCTTGGAGCTCACTGCAGTGTTCCCTGCTGAGACACTGATAAGACCCAGCAGAGAAAACACTCCGCTCTGAGCTGCCTTTTGCCTCTGTACCTCACGGTGCACGTCCCATCATCCAGGAATTTAAAAAATAAAAAACAAAACCTTTTTTTTCCTAACGTTTGCTTTTTGTCTGTTACTTGGAAATTCATTGATTTTACCATGAAAATATATTCGAGGAGGAAAAAAACAAAAACGAAGAGATTTACATGACAAAGTAGCAACTACCTTTTAAATGTAGTTTTATGCAAAAACAAGCTAAAATGTTTTCAGGCCTTTCTTCACCTGTCTCTTGCATTGTTAGTACCTTGTCGCCTTCTTAGACCTTTCAAATGAGTAACTTTCTTAATACTGAGTTTGTGGTTTCCTCCAGTCACCTTGCCCCAGGAATGCTTCTATTTAAATGAAGAATCGGAAATTAACCCCTCATATGACCAGCCAATGTGGTTCCAGTTCTTTGAATGTAATCAAATGTGAATCACAACCTCACTCTGTGTGTCTGTAGACTTGGAGTGACATTGGGTTTGTTCCCACGGAGAACAGGGACAAATTGAATAGGCATGTGGCCCTGGGCCTTCACCATAATTGAAAACTAGCTGGGTGGTTGCAGCACCTGCTCAGAATGTAAGTGTTTTTGCTTTACATAAAGAGGAGAAAAGATGCAAACTCCAAGGCTTTTTCATTCTTGATGAACTGTGCTTAGAGACGAGTGGGGAGACAGGAGAGGTTTGAATAAAGGCAGTCTACCGTCCAGGTTTCTAGGAATTATGGGCGGGAGAGAAAGTACATATAAAAGAGGAATGCCAAGCGAGGTCCGGGCCCTGGGGAGACCTCTTTGGATTTCCTGCAAACAACCTCTCGAGAAAGAATAGAGGAGCGAGCCAAGAGCGGAGAGGAACGCATTTAAATTCCCAACTCTTTGCCTTCCACTTGCAGCGAGGCTGGCAGCTGACACTCCTAACGCGGGGCCTCGTGGGCCTGGGCGGGCTCAGTGAGCAGGGTGGATGCCACTCTCTGCCCAGTTCCGCCCCCTCATTCCGGCGGCCAATGGGAGCCGGCCGTGCCCTGGGGCGCGGCCAATGGGAGCCAGTGGGCGGAGGCGCGCTGCCTTCTAAGAAGCGGCGGGTGTTGGGGGTCTGGGGAACCCAGCGCTGGAGTGCGGCGGTAATCGGCTTTACCACCATGTCCCTGCAGGTGAGCCCGAGGGTGGCAGGCCGCGCGGGAGGGCATGCTCCCGGGAGGGAAGCGCTCACGTGGGGAGCGGGGCTGCCGTGACGCCCCCCCGGGAGACGGTGCATCTCGGACCTGGCCCCTCTGCAGCTGATGCCCGCCGTTCTCGCCCCCCGGGAGAGGTGCGTGGTGACCCCCGAGGACACGCCCACCCCCTCGCGAGCGCCCCCTTATTGCAGTGGAGACAGCACCCGTGCCCTCTGTTGATGGTGAGCCGGGCTCCCTATGGCAACTCTTGTAACCCCCGGGGATTTGGTTGATCGCAAAGCCAGCCCAGGCCCGGGGAGGGCGGACCCCGGGCTGGTCCGTGGGACGCGCGAGCCCTGCTTGAGCCCGCTCTGTCCATCTGGGAGAGAGGGCGAGGGCAGCCGGGGTCTCACCGCGTCCCTAGCTCCTTGGAACATCCAGGGGCTCGCTTAGGCAAGGGTTTTTCTGAAGAGCAGACATCTGTAAAACTAGTATTTAAAAATACTGTTTTTCTGATATGTGAAAAAATATATGTTCAGGGTGGAGATTTTGGGGGAAGAAAACAAATAGAAAGCAAATAAAAACATCAGGAATTCCTTCACCCAGGTGATAACCACTGCTAACCTGATGGGTCACTTTCTCGAGTGTGTGAGAAATGTGTATGTGCGCATGCGTACGTGCATGTCTCTCTGTGTAGGTAGATACACCGATTATGCTATTTATGTATATACAGTTTTGTTCCTGTGCTTAAGACTATAAGCATTTTCTCATCATTAAATATTCTTCCAAAATATCATTTTTTAGAAGTCTGCATAAAAATTTTAGGGAATGAGCATGGTTGGCTTCTTAAGTCATTCATCGGGCAGTATGTTCTGGTGGGTAAGGGCGCACACTCCGGAGTCAGCCGGGTTCTAATCCAAGCCTCACCCCTTCTAGCCTGTGACATAGTTACTCATCTAAAAATGTGCCTCAGTTTCCTCATCTAAATATGGAGGAGAGAGACTGTTAAGATTAAAGGAACTGCGTGTATGGAGCATTTAAAACAGCACCTGGCGTGTGGTCAGTGTCCAATAAGGATAAGCCTCGAACATTTAGATATTTTTCGCTTATGTTTGACTTATGTCATTCATATTAAACTTGCCCCCAAATAATCAAATCTTACAATATCAAAACTTTCTTCCTTTTTAGCTTAGTACTTTGTTTTGTTTGGCAAGACAAATGGGATTTCTTTTTTTGTTTGAGCAAGATTAGCCCTGAGCTAACATCTGCTGCCAGTCCTCCTCTTTTTGCTGAGGAAGCCTGGCCCTGAGCTAACATCCATGCCCATCTTCCTCCACTTTATATGTGGGATGCCTACCACAGCATGGCTTGCCAAGCAGTGCCATGTCTGCACCCGGGATCCGAACCAACAAATCCCGGGCTGCCGAAGTGGAACGTGCACACTTAACTGCTGTGCCACTTGGGCAGCCCCAACAAATGGGATTTCTAATTCAGCTATGACCTCCAAATTTTATTTTAAAATTACAATATATTTACCTCCACGGCAAAGCTTTTAGGAGAGCTGACAGTCATGTAAACTGGACATCATTCTTTCTTAGACGATGAAGCTAAAAGGTAGACTGCTTCAAGAAGATGCATCTTTTCGAGTCTGGGAGATTCATGATTTTACAGACACATTTGTATGATCTAAGAACCATGCAGTTCCTTGAGTGTGAGAATTTAGGATCTTCCTAATTCAATTCCTCAGTGGGAAAGGATTGCTCAAAAAGGCATTGTCAACCGCCTGTGTGGGATGCCCATATTCTTGGGCTGCAGAAAGTAAAGCTAGATTAGGTGAGAGTCACCCCCAGAGGCTGTCTTCAGCTGCAGTGAAATTGAAAGGAAATTCACAGAGAGGCCGGCTGGTCAGTACTCCTCGGTGGGGAGAGACGGGTTCCATCCAGGAAGGCAGGATGCACCCACTGGGAGGGTTGGTGGTGACACTGGGGTCACTGCTGCAGCAGCAGTGTGGCCAGGGGGCACTGTGGTGAAAACACGAACAGGAGAGGGTCTAGGCAGAGGCACATTGTTCTGAAGAATCTCAACCACAGTTGCGAGGGAAGTGATGCACACATGCATTCATCCAGGGCGCTGAGGACCTAGCTCCTCTGGGTAAACCAGCTCAGCAGAGGCTGAAATTCCTCACCCAAAGCAGCGAGCCCAGCTCCACTGTAGCACAGGAACATGACGAAAGTTTCCCTTTTGCCCAGAATGCTTTGAAATTAAATGTAAACAGCTGTACATTTAAAGCTGTTTCTCACCTGCAATAACTTTCAGACCCTCCTAATATCCACTCACTTATTCATTCATTCAACAAGGGGCTCAGACAGGCTCGCAACCACCTGCCAGCGCTCTGTAAGGAGTGGCTCCTGCTTCCAAGATGAATATTTATGGCTGCCCTCTGTTATGGATATCTGGAGGAACGAAAAAATACAGTCCCACCCAGCCTTTGTGTTGAGCCCTAATAAATGCCATTCATTCCCCCTGGAACACCCTTCCTTGCTCCTGTGCATCCAGTAAACATATGAACGCCCAGGCTCAGCTAAGCGCCATCTCCTCTGGGAATGTTTCTCCCACACCTGCTTGCCGCTCCCTCCTTTGCGCTCCCAGAGCACCCAGCCAGCTGCTTCTCTATTAGAGCAAGTATCACATGGTCATTGCTGACCTGCTGCTCATCTCCCACTCGGCCCTGTGCTCCTTGGCTGCTCTGTTCATCCTTGTCTGCCTAGCAAAGGCCTGGCCCCTCCTATATATTCAATATGTCTGTTAAATAGTATGATCGGAGGGATGAGCTCTGAGTGGGCAGAGTCAACAGAAGCAAATCGAGAATATTTACATTCCAAATCCTTTAATCCTAACACCTCTCAGAGGTGGTTGGTATCTTTTCTTTTGGCTGAAGCTGAATCTCAGAGAAGCCGCATTGCTTGCATAGAGTCCCAGGGTGGTGTGTCTCAAAGCTAGAGTTCAAACTCAGTATCCTGATGCTGGGCCAGTGTTCTTGCTCTACAGCTCCTCTGGTTGGGCTGGGAAAGGCCTGATGGAGGAGGGCCCATGGGAGCCACACCACAGCGCAGGCGTGTATCAAGTCGAGGCACCTTGGAAGGGCATGCAGGACAGAAGGAATGACCCTGGGCCCTGCTCTGAAATGGGCTTCCCTACCCTGGGAGGGAGGGGGGACGGGGAGCCCTGAAATTGCGTGGGAAGCTGTGTGGGGGGCTGAACACGGGTGGGGAGGGTCCAAGACTTTCATTAGGTTCTCAGATGGTTCCCTACCCCCCTAAAATATGAAGGACAATTTTCCAGAAACTCCTTCCTCGAAGGCAGGGACCGAGCGTGGTTTTTGAGAAGCCTTGGGATTCTAATCAAGGCGTGGCTTGCCAAAAGGAATGGAGTTGCTGTCACTGGAGAATGGCCTGAGATTTTAGCTCCAACAGAACACCTGAGGTCCCTGATGAAGCTGAAGGGGGAGGCCCCTACGCCTCTCTGAATAGCACTGCCCGGCCTCGCCCTTGGGAAGCCCTGAGCACTAACGCAGCATTTTAATTTTGTCCTTATTGTGGACACTATGTGCACATTATAGAGCATTTGGAGAGTATGCAAAGTATTAAAAAACCAGAAAACTTACCAGTAATCAGAGGCCAATTACTGTTCACGTGTTTTAGTATATTTCTTTCTAGTCTTTATTTTTCTACATAACTTACAAAGCTGAGTGTATAAAAGCAATTTGGTATTCTTTGTTAAATCATAAAGTATTTTTCCTGTCTTGCTTCATTGCAAGTACTTTTTTCAGTTTTTTCTAGAACTAGTTTTTTTTTCTTTTTCAAAGAGCCTTATAAAAAATAATAACAGCTAACTTTTGTTGAACACTAGCCATGTGCCAGGCACAATTTTAAGTATTTTCCATATGCTAACTTATTTAAATCCTCCTAACAACCTTGTGGATAGGTGGCGCTATTGTCCCATATTACGGGTGAAAAAACAGACACAGAGAGGTTAAGTAACTTGCCCAAGGTCACACAGCTTGTAAGTGATGAAGATGAGATTCAAACCAAGGCAGTCTAGCTCCAGAGCCTATGTTCTTAACCATGGCATTGTGTATAAAGCAGCTGACAATTTCCTAGAAAGACACTCAGAAAGATGAGGCAGGGGGTGCATCCGTTGTCATGTGCACCCATGCTCCTCAGACCCCCCCATAATGATTAACGAGGAGGCTGGGCCATTTTCAAGGTTATTTAGGTTGGAGACCCTGGTCTCTGGTTTACAAGTGATTTTGTTCATCACAAAACAGCTGTCCTAGTTGTGGTACTGTTCCGTCTTTGGCCCCGGATGGAGGTTGTACCCAGCGACTCTGCTGAGGCCCTGGGGGTCTGCCGCCGCAGTGGGCCTGTCCTCTCTCCACCGGGCCTTTGGATCTGTGGACGACAAGGGAGGTGTGGCCCTGGAGAAGGAAACTGGGAGACGGAGGGAGGACCCCTCGCTGAGCCTGTCTTGTTTGATACCCAGGCTACAGGCGCTTCCTGCTTTAAAACAAATAACAAGGTGAAATACAGTTTATTTAAAAAAAAGAAGAGAAAATTTCTATTAAGGAAAATAATCACCAAAGCCCTTTGTAGATAAGCTAAGAGAGGAAAGGGATAAACCTTGTAGGAGCGCTCAGGCCCCAGGGGAGGAGGAGGCGGACCTCATCCCTATGTGCGATATGCTGAGGGAAGGCTGCTGGCCGAGTCCCGGGCCAGGGCCCTGGGCCAGCCTGAGGGTCCTGGGGAGTCAGGCAGGTTGGGGCTCTCGGAGCTAATTCACAAACAGGGAGGACAAAGTTTATTACCCTGTGTATTTGTACAGAGTTTCCACGCAGCCCGTTAGTTTTCGCTCATCGGCTCTCAGTTGGCTAAACAACTTCTCCTTTTAGGAAATCAGTTGAAATAAGTCTTAGAAATTTTGGTCTCAAGGTTTAAAGGAATCTTTACAAGCAGCTCAATGAAGTCAGAAATATTGTCCTGAGAAACTAGCTAGTCCACCAAATGGGTATAAATAACACTGATGTTGAAGAATGCAGGCAAAGAGGCACTGGGAGATAAAGGGTCTGGACGAAGATGTTAATTGTAGCAAAGTTGTTGCATGTAGCAAAGTGGATTTAGGAAGAAGAGGAGGAAGTGTCCAGGAGGATGATCAAGAAAGCTGGCCTGAGTGTAATATTATTTAAAAAGAATTAATAGAAATGTTTGTTTATGTGCTTTTAACTTATAAGAAAAAATGTGTATTTAACTTATAAGAAAAAAATGTATCAGATGGTTGATATATGAGAAATTTATACCTGATATATATATATATATATATATATATATATATATATCAGAGAAAAATATATATATATATTTCTTTTACCTTTTTACTACCTTCACTCATTTCTCCCACCGCCCACCTCTGGCAACCACCAATCTGTTCTGTTTCTATGAATTTGGTTTTTTAAAATTCCACATATAAAAGAGATCTCAGGCTATTTATCTTTGTCCGTCTGACTTGTTTCGCTTAACATAATGCCCTTGAGGTCCATCCATGTTGTTGCAAATAGCAACATTCCTCCTTTTGTAATGACTGAGTAATATTCCATTGTTTGCGTATATATCACATTTTCTCTATCCATTCATCCATCAGTGGACACTTAGGTTGTTTCCATGTCTTGGCTGTTGTAAATAATGCTGTAATCAACATTGGAGTGCAGATGTCTTTTCAAGATAGTGATTTAGTTTCCTCCAGATAAACACCCAGACGTGGAATTGCTGGATCATATGGTAGTTCTATTTTTAATTTTTTGAGGAACCTCCATACTGTTTTCCATAGTGGCTGCACCAATTTACATGCCCACCAACAGTGCACAAGGGTCCTTTTTCTCCACATCCTCACCAACACTGATCTCTTGTCTCTTTGAGAACAGACATTCTGACAGGTGTGCGGTGATGTCTTATTGTGGTTTTGATTTGCATTTCCCTGATGATCAGTGATGTTGAGCATCTTTTCATGTACCTGTTGACCATCTGTGTGTCTTCTTTCGGAATATGTCTCTTTAGATTTTCTGCCCATTTTTTAATTGGATTGTTTCTTTTTCTGCTAGTGAGTTGTATAAGTTCTCTCTATATTTTATGTATTAACCCCTTATCAGATACGTGATTGGCAAATATTTTTTCCCACTCCATAGCTAGCTTTTTCATTTTGCTGATCATTTCCTTTGCTGTGCAGAAGCTTTTTAGTTTGATGTAGTCCCACTGGTTTATGTTTGCTTTCAGCGTCAGTTTAAAAACAATCCTTGCCAAGATCAATATCAAGGGGCTTACTGCCTATGTTTTCTTGTAGGAGTTTTATGGTTTCAGGTCTTACGTTCAAGTCTTTAAACCATTTTGAGTTGATTTTTATGTATGGTATAAGGTAGCAGCCCAGTTTTGTTCTTTTGCATTTGGCTGTCCAATTTTCCCAACACCATATATTGAAGAGACTGTCCTTTCCCCATTGTATATTCTTGGCTCCTTTGTTGTAAACTACCTAGCCATATATGTGTGGGTTTATTTCTAGGCTCCCTATTCTGTTCCATTGATCTATGCCTCTGTTTTTATGCCAGTAACATACTATTTTGATTACTATAGCTTTGTAATATAGTTTGAAATCAGGGAGTGTGATGCCTCCAGCTTTGTTCTTCTTTCTCAAGATTGCTTTGGCTCTTTGGGGTCTTTGGGAGTTCCAAATTTTAGGATTGTGGGGCTGGCCCTGTGGCCGAGTGGTTACATTCACATGCTCCACTTTGGCGGCCCACGGTTTCACTGGTTTGGATCCTGGGTGCAGACCTGGTACCGCTCATCAAGCCATGCTGTGGCGGTGTCCCACACAGCACAACCAGAAGGACCTACAAGTAGAATATACAACTATGTACTGGGGGGGCTTTGGGGAAAAGAAGAGGAAAAAAAAAAAAGGATTGGCAACAGATGTTAGTTCAGGGTCTATCAAAATAAAAAAGTTGAAATACATGTTTTAAAAAACTCCAAATTTTAGGGTCATTTGTTCTAGTTCTGTGAAAAATGTCATTGGAATTTTGGTATAGATTGCATTGAATCTGTAGATTTCTTTAGGTCATATGGACATTTTAATATTAATTTTTCTGATCCATGAGCACAGGCTAGCTTTCCATTTATTTGTGTCTTCTTCAATTTTTAACCATAGATAAATTGAACATTTTCCATATTAAAAATTTTATTTAGTCCGTATCTTGTCTATCTATCAGGTAAGCACTGGGAGAATTGTCGAGGAATTAAAATAAATAAGGATAATTCTGGTGGAACCAGAGCGGTAATTGTTCATTTCTGTTTGAAACCTCCCTCCTCCTTTTTGGGTTCCCACTGCTTGGTGGTAAATGCCCCCACAATAGATGGGCCTGCTGGCAGTTAGCAAATGCACCATGTGCCTTTTCTCCTTTTTGCTCTAGGCTGAGTTTGACAGGGTCGCAGAAGACGTGAGAAAGCTGAAAAGGAGGCCAGATGATGCAGAACTGAAAGAACTCTATGGGCTCTACAAACAATCTGTCATTGGAGACATCGACATTGGTAGTCTATCATTTTAAAAATAATACATTTCACTTGAACAATGTTTATAGAAACATGGGGTGAAAAGTAAACTTGAAAATATGTCTATCCTTCTTTTGGCAGAGTGTCCGGCAATGTTAGATTTAAAAGGCAAGGCAAAATGGGAAGCATGGAACCTCCAAAAAGGTGCTGTGAATTCTTAAATAAGTTAAACAAACCTTCTTAATTTCCCAACCCATCAGTCAGTGAGATCATCTGTTTGTGTCTTTCTAGGGCTGTCAAAGGAAGATGCCATGAGCGCCTATGTTTCTAAAGCTAGAGAGCTGATAGAAAAATATGGAATTTAGAATTCAGCAGATGAGAAATTTTTCCCTTTGAAGTCTTCATAACGGTATCATGACCTAGCACTTAGGTGAGAAATACACCGTGAACTCTTTACGTATCGTGTGTATTTTTGCTATTAACATGAATTGTAATCCTTAATTAGAAGTATGCTGAAACCACATATTTAACTAAATTTTACTGCTAAAACCAAGTGATTTAATTTGAAAGTTCTTAAAAATAATGCTGCTCTGGGAGTAGGTGCACAAAAACATTAGCAAGTGTCGGTTCTTTTGTCTTATCTGTTTTTCTGCAATGAGTTAGTGCTATTGGTGTAATGAAAACAGTTTATTAAGAACCAGTGACAAGGCCCTTCCTTGGTTGTGCCATGTAGCTTTTGGGTGCACACTGACTCAGGGCTTTCGCAATCACAGACATACCTGGTTCCCATCCTTTCTCTGTGACTTATTTACTCGGTGACCTGAGACAAGTTACTTAACCTTGCTAAGCCTCATCTATAGAGTAGGGAAAAGAATATCAGTCTCACGGGGTTGTAAGAATCGAAGGAGATAACTGTAATCATCATACCTTCATTTTAAAGCAAATGCTGTATAAAACCACAAATAAGCCCCAAATTTTTGTTAATAAACTTATGAGTCTATCTACAACTCTTCAAAGAAAGAAAAAAACCATCATGGAGCTATCGACTATTTTTCTTTAAATTTTTACGTTTAAGGTAAATCAAAAAATCAGACAGAAATGTAGTATCTAGTGATAAGAAACTGTACAACTGCTGTGCCTCTTATGTTTAGTTTTATCAGAGGGAAAATGTAGATTCTGAAATATCACTTTGGCCCAATTCTCAGTCTTTCCTGCCGGTACACAGGCTCCCTGAAAGAAGTCAGACTCATTTTAACAGTTCTAAAATCTGTTTGAGAGTCCATAGGATAAATAGCCCCAATACAGTGGACCTGCATAAGAGTTTAGGTTTGATATGGTATGGCCAGAGGAATAGATTGATTTCATGTTACTTTAAAAAAAAAAAATCTAGATTGACTAGATGAATTTTCAGGGAATTATGCTGAGTGAAAAAATGCCAGTCCAAAAAGGTTTCATACTGTATGATCTCATTTATGTCACATTCTTGAAATGGCAAAATTATGGACTAAGAGGGCAGAATAGTGATTGCCAGGGAGGAGGGGGGTGGGCGTGGCTACAAAAGGGCAGCAGGAGGGATGCTGTTGTGATGGAGGATAGAAAGTTCCACATCTTGACTGTATCCATGTCAATATCCTGGTTGTGACATTACACTGGAGTGTTCCAAGATGTTACCATTAGGGAAAGTAGGTAACTCTGTACTATTTCTAACAACTCCATGTGAATCTACAGTTATCTCAAAATAAAAAGTTTAATGAAAAACGAATCTAGCTTGATTTCTAATCTGGAGTATTTTGGAAAGTCAAGATGATTCTCCTCTCTACTAAGTTTTGCCTAAAGATAGCCAGAAGTCTTCCACGATGGAGTCAACGTCCAAATCCAGCAAAGGGAGACATCACCAATGATAGGCCTGGTCTCTTCCAATCGAGGGCCTGGAAACTCTTCAAGCTCTTCCCACATGGACTCACCTCCACCAGGCGGAGAGGCTGGCTGGAAGACCCACTCCAAAAGCCTGGCACTGGCAGCATCATGACATTCCCATTTGCAGACTATCTTGACTAAAAAGTTTTCAAGTGAATAATCAAAAATCTAAATTACTTTTGTAGCAATCTTTCTGTTAAGGGAGCCCTCGGAATCATATCAAACCTAAGAGTTAAGCACAGCACGTACTACACATTTAACATAAATTGCTTGATGCTATTTTTAGCCCAAATTTATTTTGCGAATTCTAGCTCAAAGCCTTCCCTCCCTAATAAATTGCATATTATTTGTGCTTTGTTAAAAAGGAGTGATAAATTCTGAAAAATACCTCCTGTGTGCATTTTCCTTCATCTTATTTACTGACATGGTATGTGTATTATTTTAAAATCATAACAAAAACATGCACCCATATTATGTGATCATGAACAAATCAATGCTTTAAAAGCTAACATTTTAGTATGTTACGCTGTGTCAGGCAGTTGAAGTCATAAGGAAGAGACATCGGTTGCATCAAGTAGTGGAGTTTATTGTGAGGATCTGTAGGAAATCAGGATATCTGATTGGACAGCCAGGAAGTGAAGAGACAAAGACAGTTTGGGAATTGTGAGAGGGTGCAGGATCCAGACAGCGCCAGGGATGCGGTGCCTCTCCATTCCCATCGGTAGGCATTTGTGAATCCCCCTGGTAGTGTCCTGCCATCGTCCTGACTTAGCTAATTTTCCTATTTCTGCTCTTTTCCCTTTTGGCTCCTGGTTGTTTCCAACTGTTCTGCTTTCTCGTTATGTCAACATCAAATTGTCGCAGAGCGAGGCTGAGGCAGCCTACCAGGCATGGCATTTGTGCTTGGCCACGCCATATGCCAAGGACCAGACACTAGGCTGGTTGTCTGTGGGAGGCTTGCTCTGGGCCCCAGTCAGTCATTGCCAGGGCAGCAGCAAAGCCACACAGCGCCAACAGGCAGTCGATGTGGGAGGAACCCGTTGGAAGGTGTTCTGAGGACTTGCCAGCACAGACGGCAATGACAGTTCAGGATGGTCTTATTTTAATAAAACAGGACGTACATTTTCTCATTAAATGAGAGAACCCCACATTTCAAAAGATCTGATCAGGCTTTGAGCCACAATGTGTTGCTGGAACAATAATTTATTTTCTAGCATTTCCTTGTCTATCATTTTCACTGTTAAAATAATTGAAGGGGAAAAATGGATAGTTGACCAAGCAAGAATTTTGTTAACCTTCCCACAGCTGAGACTCAAATGAGATTCTAATAGGAAAACAGAGGACCCTGCCAAGAAGTATTCTTTACCCATTTGTCTTTTGTCCCCAGATACATAAACGCTCTGTAAAGAAATCACCCTGACAGTGGCAAATATATCATTTTCAAATCTCGAAATAAAAGCAGTGAACTACATCTGAAAAATCAAGAAGAGTATCATATAATCACTTTGACTATTTTAAGACTAAAAGGAGGAGAGCATTGATACTTCTAGACACTTGGTAATGTAGTTCTTGATGAAGCTCTCATTGGATGGCTCCATAAAATAAAAGTGATCTCCTGGAAGCACGTGAATATCAACACTTCCACTGGTCACATCTTTCCAGGCTAAAAATAAACCAGATTATATTTAGTAGCAAATGACATCACCACCAACGAAAGACTTACTCCCAGATATTTTCTAAGAGTTGACGCCCGTGGTAGAGTTACTTCCAAGGTCTCATGTTCTTTAAGTCCTGTATTTTTAATTTCTCTAAGACCTATCAGTATATAGTTGTGTTCCCTGTGTCCTCTCATTTTACACCGACATCTCTCCACTTACGCTAAATAAAACTTGGGCCAATTTTCTGCTCATTACAGTAACTGCTAGTTGACCTGAGCTGGAAATCATGGAATAAATATCTCAATAAAATACCCAAAACTATCAAAATAATTTCACCTTCCATATCCTTTACGATATCTTCAGATCCAAGGAAACAGGTTAAGTCACAGGAAAGGAGAGCCTCAGATGGTCTATCAAAGCTGCAAACGTGAAAGAGCAAGTTAGTAATTCTGCATGGTCAGCATCCCAGAATCTTTTCCTGTTGGTGACTTCACTTAAATGAACCGTGGTGTGTCTTCACTTCTTACGTTTTTGCTATTTCCAGCAATGCAAACATTGTTTTTTTACCAGTGGGACTTCTATCCGTCAGAACCTGCCTGAGACTCATGGTGGTCTGGGCCATTCTCCAAGATCATCTAGCTTCTAGAACAATACAGATGGCAGCAGGATGGCCCTTGGACACCCAGTCCAACTTAGGATGAAGCTAGTTACAACCAGTGCTGTAACTGTCACTCCCCAGAAACAACTCTTTCCCAGCCCGCCATGGTCCAGCAGAGGGTGGCAGTGAACGGAACAAAAGCAGGTTCATGCAAGCTGGGCCCCTGAGCTGGTGCTACCACAGCAACCCACATTTACTGAGGTAGCTGCTGGCTGCTGTGTGGGCCACTAGGGACATGTGGATAAATAAACACAGTCCCTTTCCCCCTGCAGCATAGAGATTGGCTGGGGAGACAGACATTAATGAAATAATCAGAGAGAGATGTAAGTGCTACCAAGTTCAGGGTGATCTGAGATCACTTGATAGGTGGGGGCGGGTTGGGTCAAGCAAGGAAATGGAGTTGGAGCTGAGATCTGAATGAATACGAAAAACTTGGCAAAGGGCAGAGAGGCAGCTAGGGAAGAGGGAATAGAATGAGCACAAACTCATGGCTGTCGTTCTGAGAGCAAAGGGAGAATTGGACCAAATTAAGGCAGAAGTGGTAGGCAAGGGCCAAGTGTAGGCCTCATAAGGGGTTTATGGTCATCCTAAGAGTGACAGGAAGCCACCAAAAAGATTTAAGGCAAGGTCCGTCATGATCAAACTTGACTTTTATCCCTCTGGGAAGTGTGGGGTCCTCTGGGGGAGGACCAATTCAGTGGCTATTTAATAGACCAGGCAAGAATTCCTGCTTCTATCCAGAACATAGAAAACTAGGTGTGCCACTCCCAGCCTAACCATGAAAAAAAGCCCAACAGACTACAAGATCCTAGATTTTCTTGAACTCATCAGAGAGCTGAGTTTGCAAGGCAAACTAGAAACTGAATTCCAAGGAGGGACTGGCACCTATAAGGAGAGGTGGGATGTGTGGACTGGCTCACGTGGGCAAAGCCCAGGAGGAAGGAGTGTCTGCTGTACATTTGAGCAAGAAGAAATTAGCTAAAATGTTAAAGTGCTGGAGACGAAGTGTGGGGTGGTGTGTCAGGTGGAATTCACACTGATTTGCAGGCTCTTTTCCATGGGCCTCCACTAGGGGTTCACCAGAAAGACTGGAAACAAGGCAGGAGGCCATAAAGAGCCCCCTTGGCAGGGCAGGTGGGCAGCAGGAAATTGGCTGTGGCCATGAGACAGATGCTAACCCTGACCCCTGCCCAGGCCCTTCTCTCTCACTAAGCAAAAGCCTCAAGCTACTGGGGGAGGGGCATCAAACACTTTGACCCCCAGGGCACAGGCAAAGACCCATGGCTTCAGGGCATAGAAAGATTAACCCTCTACCCTTGGGGAAGGAGTGGGAAGTGGTCTTGGGCCCACAATCCAAGCAGAAGTATTCCACTTCTGGGGAGGGACTGGAAACTTCCACCCAAGACCAACCACAGATACAAGGAGAAGGGATGGGCATGCTGAGAAACTCCCACCCACAAGGCCCAGGTACAGAGGGCCCACTTAAGATTGAAGTTCAAGACTGTCCAGGACATTTAAGAACTCTCCATGTTACCCCAGAGGTGAACACCACTCATCAGGTAACAAGCAACAGCTGTCTGTCAGTGGGGAGAGACATTTCTGAGGCACAGGGAAGACTGAAAAATTGAGAAAACTACTCCAGCAACCGAGTCCCCACAGTAAGCACACAGTAACACCAGAGGGCTTGGGAGCTGGTGTTGCCCTGAAGTAACCATAGTAACAACAAAATCCAAACACAGCTCAACTCCAGTCTAGATGGACGCAACTCCCCACACTGATGACCTGACAGAAGAAGAGATGTGCTCAAATCTAGATGTAAAAAATACTTCAGTTTCTGTTTTATGCATATCTGGCTTTCAATTAAAAAAAAAATATCAGACACACAAGAAAGCAAGAACTAAATAACCCATTGTCAAGAGGTAAAGCAATCAAAAGAATCAGACTCAGATAAGACCCAGATGTTGGAGCTATCAGGGACTTTAAAATACCTGTAATGAGATGTCAAAGGATTTAATGGAAAAGGTGGACAACATGCATGAACAAATGGGGATGTTCATTAGAGAGATGAAAACCATAAGAAAGGGACAAAAGGAAATTCTAGAAATAAGCAGCAACAACTATGAGGAATTCCTTTGACGGGCTCCTCAGTGGACTTGACACAATTGGGGAAAGAATCAGTGAACTTAAAGAATGGTCAACAGGAATTATCCAAACTAAATGCAAAGGAAAAAAAAGTTAAAAAAAGGAACACCAAAGAGCCATGAGACAATATCAAAGACCCTAGCGTGTGTGTGTAGTCAGGGTCCCAGAGGAGAGGAGAAATCAGCACAATAGTCCAGGCAAGAGATGAGGACAGCCTGAGTGAGTTGGGAACATCAAAGCTCTGCCACCTGTCAGGGATTTTCCTTTTGGCCCCCAGGCTCTGAGCCTTGGTAGAAGGTGATGGGAAAGAAGAGATCTGAGAGACACTCCAGAGGCCTGCTTTCACTTGTGTTGGAAAAAGCTCAGAGCTATGGAGGGGTGAAGAGAGAAGAACAGACTGAGAAAGTGGAAGGAGCAGGAGCGAAGAGAGGAGAAGAATCCAGAGAGCAGGGTTTGAGCAGAATTTTTGGAATTTGGAGAGAGAAAGCTCACAGTTGTGGGTAGCTATTGTGATTTGATTCCCTGGGGAGAAAGTGAGAATAATTAAGGGTTTTATGTTCTCCAAATGGAATGTCCTTGTGAGTGATTTATCTTTTATTTCTGGATATGGGGAGGTTTTTTTGAGAGCCGTTGAGAGTTTAGCTAAGCTACTCTAATATTGCCACCTTGGCATCCACACTGCGGCCAAGTGGCCTGCAGGGACTTGAACTGACATCAGCCCTCTCGAGAGTGCATGTCCCAGGTGACAGCCCAGAGTGACCAATAAACGGAAGTTCCTGGTATGACTCCCCCAACCGCCCTGTGATAAGCAATCTCTCCTGCCTTCCAGAACCTTCACCTTGTGTAACTCTTTGATAAGACCCCTGAAAAGCTTACCAAAATCCCACCTTTTTTGGTTTGAATTGGCCAATCCGGCCTTAGCCCAGGAACCTCAAAGCACTCCACTCGAACACTCTAATAAAGGCATGTGTACGTGTCCTGCCTCACTCTCTGCCTGCACCAGCCTTGACCTTCCCACGTGGCCTATCAAGGTGCGCCATGAACCTCCTCCAGGGCCCACGAGTAATAAGCTTGTCTATTTCAATTTCTCTGTGGTCTCCTGTTGAACCCAGGCTCACGATCCGACACCCAGGGCTCTACTTAACCAGTGCTCACTCAACAAAGTCACAACAGGAGCCTTCGGTAGTGAGTTTTGTGTTGTATTTTGTTTTTAAAACTTGCTTGTGGTTTGCTCTGTGCTGAACTGTCTACTAAGCATGACCTCATTTCATCCTCACCACAACACCTGGAGGAAGTGACTTCCTCTGACCGGTGAGATGCACATTGCGAAAGAAACTCGTTCCGAATTTCATAGCTAGTCAGCCATAGGCAGAGGGTTTTGATCCTGGTAAGTGGCATGTTTAACCATTGTGCAAGACTTAATTATTAAAAACCAGCTTTGCAGATGCTATTTTATTGAAAGTCCACCGTGATTTGGATTGTTTTTTAATTTGGGGAGGGGCATGTCAGACTGCTATTTCTTTGATTCTGACCCTGAGCTAAGCCGGGAACACACAGCTGAGCCCTATGAGAGCCAAACATGGGCAAAGATGGTTGGGGTAGAAATGGAGACACATGCATAGATGTGGGGCCTCCAGGAGATGGATGGTGGACGTTGTGATGGATGGGAGGTGGGCAGTGAATGGAGGGACGTGTCAGAAATGAACAGGATTGTCTGTTCTCAAGGTGCTTCAAGTCTGCTCCACTTTTTGTAGCTATTTGTGCAAACTTGTAACCACAAGCACTGCCCATAGTGGCTCGATGTCCAGTTCCAGGCTTTGTGGAGGAAATAAAAGAAACACAGCCTAGAGTATCTGCCTTCTAGGAACTTACACGGAGGAGAAAAAGCCCAGGCAAAAGAGAAGGAATGCATGACAGTGGATAATGAGGACTAAGGGCCAAAGGCTGGCCCCCCAATAGCACTATGGGGAAGTTAGACTAGGAAGAGCCATTTCTAGGTTAGCTTCTTGGGGAAGGCTTTACAGAAGGTTAGGACTTTAGACCTGTCAGAAGAATCAAGTGTCAGTACAGACATCTCAGGAGAGAAAGGATTGGTCAGGCGCCGTGGAGCTACGTGAGTTCTGGGACAAAATTCACAAAGAAGCAAACAGTCCTCCTTGCCCTGGTTCACCTACACACTTAGCAAGTAGGATCTCCTTCTGCTGACCCCTCTAAGAAGGTGAGAATGCTTTGGCATTAATTAATGCAACAGAGATCTATGTGATAAAACATACACGTTGAACCATCCACTCACACATACATACATATGCATATATATTTTTTAAAGAAAAATATACTCTATTCGTCTTTTAGTGACACAATTTCTGTGCCCAGGCTCCATTCTAAGGCGGTAAAAATATCACAGGTGACCCCAAAGTAAGTGAAATCAAACTCTTAGAATGTTGTCCGCCTGTGCAAGCAGCCTCGGAGGACTCCGAATCTACATTTTCCTATAGATAATTATTTTTTTAAAAAACCCACTTGTCTCGGTTACTTACACGTAACTTCTAAAAATGCGTGCATCTGCTAGCACTTTGGTTGTATATTCTCGCAAAAGTTCCTTGTCGTAAATAAAATCCTTGGGAGTGCCTCCATAGTCCTTAAGGAGACAGGCAATTCTTTCTTCTGACAATTCGTTTTCTTCGGGAATGTGAAGCCGGGCCTTTGATTTGAAACATTAACAGTGTAAGCCTGATATTTCATATAACACACTTACTCATAAACTGAGAGCTACCTATCTAAGGGAAAAGTCATCAAACCAAGGTTCGGGGCCGGGGCGGGGGACTTCTTTATGTGCAGGTCTCAGGGGAGACCTATTTCTTTTTGAAAGCAGGGAGATGAAACTTCACTAGTAATTCCAGCGTCATAATGCCACCAAAATGCCACTCTTGCCTTGGAGGCCCAGGTCAATCAGAGCCGTTCTCTGGATGGCAAAGGGAGAGCACAAGGGCAGTGGGAACAGCAGCACCAGCTCTAAAAGTCAAGGTGGTTCCAAAATGTTGACATCACTGTCCCCTTCGGAGATTTCAAGGATTCTTCCCTGGATCTGATCCAGTTGCTTTGCTGAGAGTTGATTACGTTCCCAGCTGACTCAGGATGAAAGAAAAAGCGCTTATGGTCAATACCGGCTCAGAGATGGCAGGGACGTTGCAAGCACTGACCGGAAAACAGTTAAAGCTCATTTCAGAGAAAAGGAGAGACGTTGGTGTTGAAAGAGATTGGAGGGTCTTTCCATGAGCCCGAAGTATCCCTGCCATCATCCCCCGCTGGGGAAAAATTCGCCAGATAGGAAAATAACTTGGTTTTCTCCTCACATTTCCCTCCTCTCCATCACCCTCCCTAAGGAAAAGGAAATTACTTACATGAGGAGGCGCTACACTCGACACAAACAAATGTGCTGGCTCTAGCTTATGTTTTTCTTTTAGCTGCAGTGCAGTCATAAAAGCAATATAGGATCCCATACTAAATTTGGGAAAGAAAAACATGATAAGTGTCCAACAAAACTCATGAGAATCCATCAAAAGTCGATAACAACAAGGCACCCACAGCAATGATCATGAAATCGTCAAAAGATAAAACATTGGTTGAATAGTAACTCTAATTTATTTGTGAAAGGTATATCTTCCATGATTTATATCAGCATCAAAACTGTTTCAAAACATCTTAAGTAATTCAAACGAAGATATGGTACTGATTTCCATAATGTGTTGACATTAATTTAAATTTCCTTTTCTCCCTTAAAGATATATGTCGCTCTGAATTGATAGTATATACCAGCAGTTCTCAAAGTGTAGTCTGGAATTCCCTGGAATTCCTGAGACCTTTTCAGGTAGTCTATGAGGTTAAAGCTATTTTCAGGATAATACTAAATCATTATTTGCCTTTTTCTTTCCTGAGTGCATGGTTGAGTTTTCCAGAGGCCTGTGTGACATGGGATATTGCCACAGTTTGAATGCAGAAGCAGAAATGAGAATCTGCCTGCCTTCTGTTAAGCCGGACGTTAAACAGGTTTGCAAAAGTGTGAAATAATGCCACTCTTCTTTTTTTTTTGAAAATAAAGTCTTTTACATAAAAATGTATTATTTATGTCAACATATAATGGGTTTATGAATGCTATTTTAAGATAATTTAAATATCTTTAGATTTCTTAGTTTTCATTTCTAATATGATAAATGTTGGCAAGATTTATCCCGCATAAACAAAAGCTCTTTAAGGTCCTCTATGAAAGTATTGAAGTATGGCTGGCACCAAAAAGTGTGTGAAATGCTGTACACGTTATGTAGATATTTTGTAAACAATACTGCCACAGACGATTTTTTGTAAATATCTTAGGGGAGAAAAGAAAAGGAAACTCAGTCCTATGTTCATTGCCGATGGAGTGTAAATTGCAGGTAATTTGTAAATACATATCAAGAGCTTTATCAACGTGCCTATCACTTAAATTCTGGAAATTCATCCTAAGAAATGTGTAAGTGATGTATACGAGATTGTCTACAAAAATGTTCATTAAAGTGTTTTTATAACAGAGAAAGATTGAAGTAACTCTTGTGTCCACAAAAGGAATTTGATAAAAACAAGTCATGAAGCAGTGTATTCTTACAGCAGTCAAAAATTTCCATAGAAATAGTAAGTGAAAAACGTCAGGAAAAAATGTGAAACAGGACCTCATCGTTTAAAAATAATATGGAACCACATCAAAATTTTAAAATATTATCTAGGTTAATGGATACTTTATTTTTCATTTTTTGCTTGACCATTTATGTAAATGTTAGATAATATAGTGGACAAAATTTATTGAGTCCTTACCATATACCAAGTAATTTGTGATCATTATTCATTTAATCCTCATAAGTAGGAATGATTATTATTCCAGCTTTACAGAGGAAAGAACTAATTCAGAAACCTAAGTAATTTGCCCATGGTCAAACTGAGTAAGAGGCAGTCAAACGCCAGGCTTCATGACCTAACCTTAAAATTATACAGCCTAGCTTAAGAAACATACTATTTATGTAATTTTTTAATTTTAAAAATAAATGGGATATAAGTTGCTGCTAGAATCTTGATTTTTTACAAATCTTCAGTTTCTGCCTAAAAGGAAAAAAGGTGTAATTCCTGTACAAACTGGCCAATTGTAAGAGTTGTGACTGGTCATAATTACCCAACGTGCTGGAACTATTTCCTAAAGAGAAGATGCCAAGAGGCGCCCAGGATTTACATACTCCTTAAAGATTTCAGTTAATCACCCCATCTGGCCTTTCTATCTTTGTGGTCTCTGTTGACGTTTTCTTTCAAACTGACTTTCTTCTTTGAGAACAGCTATCCCCATATTTAATCAGTTACTCCTTCAAGCAGTGATGAAGAAATGTAATCAAAACGAAAGGTCTGCCTCTCACAGGACACAAAGGACAACGTTAACCATAGATGTGTCATTGAAGAGACTCCCTCAAATGTGTTTTAAAACAGATTTTAAATACCTGTGGCCAAGAAATGCAAATGGCTTATCCTGGAGGACCGGCAGCAGAGCACCAGCAATTTCATCAACGACCTCATGGATGTCACTTGCAAAAGGTTCTTCAGATCGACTTTCTCTTCCCGCAAGCCTTATGGAGTGCACTGGGGATGGCAAACCACAGTTAGCACTGGGGTGTTGTGAAAGGGCCTCTACTAACATGACGTGAACAATGTCAAAGAAATGAATAATAATGGTCAAATCCAGGGAGAGAAAAGTTTTCAAATTTGCTGGTAAAAAGAGCAATAGCGAAAAATATAGCAGACTAAATATCTGAAAAATACTCTCCAACTACAAAACACCTAGAAATACTAGATGAACCACACGTATGCCTAGTGGGGCTCACAATAAAGGAAAGGGAACACCCGGAAGGAAAAAGTGAAAGGGAACTGAAAATTCAAGCAGTGAGCATCTGCCAATGAGTGGCTGCTCAGACGCCCATTACCTATGTCAGGAAAATAAAACATCAGATTTCAAGGGTGGCCTAGGTGGTCAGCAGACAAGGCATTGGAGTGCCTTAAATCCACAAGAGAGGAAGTGTTCCAAATAGACCAATGGAACAGAATACAGAGCCCAGAAGTAAACCGCATGCATGCGGAAACTCAATTTATAGCTGAGCTGACATTTAAAATCGGTGGGTGAAATTTAGACCTCTTGATAAATGTTGCCAAGTCAATTGGCTATTCCTGTGGAATAAATAAAATTGGATACCTAGGTCACACCCTGCATATGTAAAAGTCAATTCTAGCTGAAATATGACAAAATACTTAAGAACTGATAGAAGAAAACATAAGCAAATAACTTTGTGACTTAGTGTTAGGGCATACTTTTAAAGCAAGCCATAAAAAGTACAAACTTTAGAGAAGAGTTATTGACTTGACTCTATCAAAATTTAAAACTTCTGTGAATCAAAAGACAACACATGAAAAAGAAGAGGTGGCACAGACTGAAAAAGACATTTGCAACCCACAAAACCTACAAAACATTAGAGTCCAGAATAGAAAAAGAATTTCTACATGTCAATAAAAAGACGACAAATGGAAAAGTGGGCATAAGATACTAACAAGAAACTCAGGAAAGAAAACATATAGTAATACATATATGAAAAGATGCCCAGTCTCACTTATAATAAGGGTTATTCAATTTAAAATCAGAAGAATTTATCTTATAACTGGAATTTGTATCTTTTGACCACACTCATTTTCCCCTCCCCCTCACATCTGTTCCCTGTTTCTATGAGTTCGGTTTTTTTTGGATTCCACACATTAGTGAGGTCGTATAGTATTTGTCTTTCTCTGCTTTATTTCTACTTAGCATAATACCCTCAAAGTCCATACATGTTGTGGGAAACGGCAGCATTTCCTTCTTTTTGTGGCTGAATAATATTCCATTGTTTACATATACACACCACATTTTCTTTATCCATTCATCCATTGATGGACTCTTAGGTTGTTTCCATATCTTGGCTGTTGTAAATAATGCTGCAATGAACATGGGAGTGCAGATATCTCTTCGAGATAGCAATTTTGTTTCCTTTGGATATATACCCATAAGTGGAATTGTTGTATCATATGATAGTTCTATTTTTAATTTTTTGAGGAACCTCCATACTGTTTTCTATAGTGGCTGCACCAATTTACATTCCCACCACAGTGCACAAAGGGGTCCTTTTTCTGCACATCCTCACCAACACTTCTTTCTTGTCTTTTTGAGAACAGACATTCTGACAGGTGGTCAGTGATGTCTTATTGGGGGTTTGATTTGCATTTCCCTGATGATCATTGATGTTGAGCATCTTTTCATGTACCTGTTGGCCATCTGTATGTCTTCTTTGGGAATATGTCTCTTTAGATTTCTGCCCATTTTTAAATTGGATTGTTTCTTTTTTTGCTAGTGAGTTGTATAAGTTCTTTATTTATTTAGGTATTAACTCCTTATCAGATATATGATTGGCAAATTTTTTTTCCCATTCCATACCTAGCTTTTACATTTTGATGATGGTTTCCTTTGCTGTGCAGAAGCTTTTTAATTTGATGTAGTCCCACTGGTTTATGTTTGGTTTTGGCGTCAGTTTAAAAACAATCATTGCCAAGACTAATGTCCATGGGCTTACTGCCTATGTTTTCTTGTAGGAGTTTTATGGTTTCAGGTCTTACATTCAAGTCTTCAATCCATTTTGAGTTGATTTTTGTCTATGGTATAAGATAGTGGTCTAGTTTCATTCTTTTGCATGTGGCTGTCCAATTTTCCCAACACCATATATTGAAGAGACTGTCCTTTCCCCATTGTATATTCTTGGCTCCTTTGTCATAAATTAATTAGCCGTAAATGTGTGAGTTTATTTCTAGGCTTTCTGTTCTGTTCCATTGGTCTGTGACTGATTTTATGCCGGTACCATACTGTTTTGATTCCTATGAATAAGTTCTGGGGATCTAATCTGCAGCAAGATGGCCATAGTTAACAGTGCTGTGTTCTCTATTTGAAAGTTGCTAAGAGAGTAAATCTTAAAAGTTATCACAGGAAAATTTTTTTTAACTATATGAGGTGATGGGTGTTAACTAAACTTATCGTGGTGATCATTTCACGATATGTCCATAAATAATTATGTTGTTCACCTTAAACTTATACAATGTTACATGTTAATTACATCTCAATAAAACTGGGGAAAAAACAAAATCAGAATAATTTCGTGCATAGATTGGCAAATAATCAAAAACTTTAGCAAAAACAATATTGTCAAGGATGTAGAGCAATAAGAATTTTCATATACTGCTTTGGCAGTGTAAATCATTGCCATTTTTTTTGAGAACAATTTGTCAATATTTCCTATAGTTGAAGACATTCATACTCCACCACTCAGAAATTCCACTCCTATATGTAGATTCTCATACCCATGCATGTAAGAACACATACATAAGACTGCCCATAGAAGCATTGTTAATAAAAGCAAAACAATGAAAAAGACCTTAATGCCTATAAAGAGAAGAACAGATACATAAATTGTGTTATAGGCACACAACTACTACATAACAGTTAAAAGTCAGTGAAGTAGGGTTACACATATCCACAGGATGAATGTCAAAAAATAGAGGAGAAAAAAGCAACTTTCAGAGGAATGTTTACAATATGATACATTTACATAAAGTTAGAAATACGTGAAATGATACTATATCTTGCTTCTATTTGAGGAGGCCAAGAGAGAAGAGAGTGGATACAATTGGGGAAGGGTACATGGAGACTTCAATTGTAATGTTTTATTCTTTCAGGATAGCAGCAAGCGTGGTTACGTGTGTGGTATTATTCTTTATACATTTTTATACATCAACGATTTAAAAATTTGTTTAAAGGAGCAGCCTTTAATTGTCTATATTGGACTGTCAGCTGTTCATTAAAAACCTCGTATGAAAATAGTTCCAGGAATTTCTAAAACTATATTGATATGTTAATAACAGGACTCTCTTCTTCTAATGAATGGATTTTTTTGAGACCTCGTGTCAGAGTCCTGGTGAAAGTGGAAAGGGGAATAAAGGGGCTTGGAAGGCCTGAGGGGAACAGAGAGGTAGGGTTGGGAAGGGAGCATTTCCTGGGAAGAAGGGTACATTGGAAATGGGCAATGTCTCTTGGAGGCCTGAGGGCAAAAATGCTGGTGTTTTTCCAGGGCTTTTTTGGGGTTACTGTTTGTTTGTTTTGCCACTAAAAACAATACTGTAATGTGAAGAGCCCTGTTCATCCACGTTCACGTACTTTGGGGAATATAGCTGTAGGTGAAATGCCTAGAACTGAGGTTCAAAAAGACCGAACAGGAAGGCTGTTGGCTCCTGGGAAATGGAGACTGTTGGAGCTGAAGAGAGCTTGGGAAATAGGCACAGGCCAGGCATCTCACTCTACAACTGAGAAAACTCTCGTTATGTAAGACTGCGAGTCAACACGGAATTTTATGAGATTTCCTATTTGACCTACTTCCCTATTTAATTTAAGGTCGTCCATCTAACCTGCCAAACTTAAACAAAGAAAGGCAGGTGACCCTGTATCGTATAAATCATCTAATAGAAGGGAAGGAAATGGGATTAGAAAGGATAAGAATGCCAAATGGTTTTTTTCTTAAAAATATCTGAAATAGAACTTCAAATAATTTATGCAGCTATTCCCTCCTCAAGGAGATGGAGGTTAGTGCCCTATCCCTTGAGTGATTTTCTTCCAAGGAGTAGGGTATGAAAAGGGACGAAAAGTAACTTTACAGTGGAGAAACCTGCAAACACGACCTCAGCCAGAAGATGAAGGAAAGTCTGAGAAACCACCGCAGACTTAGAAGGCTAAGGTGATAGGCCCACTAGGTAATGTGGTATCCTGGATGGGCAGAAAAAGGACATTAGGGAAAAAACGAGTGAAATCTGGAAAAACTGTGGAGTTTAGTTAATAGTCACGTGGCAGTGTTGGTTCCTTATTTGCGACAAATGTCCTGTGCTCATGTAAGACGTTAATAATTGGGGAAACTTGGTGAGGGGTATATAAGAACTGTACTATTTTTGCAACTTTTCTGTAAATCTAAAACTATTTTTTTAAAGTTGTATTTAAAATAAAAATTTAATGGAGACCTTATCCTATCAAAAGTTAAAAAAAAATCAGAAGCAAATATATCAAAGTAGTAATACTGGAAAGGCAAATGGTTAGGACACTATGGTTTGTTAACTTACTCTGTTTAACCAGCTTTAATACTTCCGGTGACTAAGCAGTATCTTGCAGCAGACCAACTCTCTCATTGAGCGAACAGATAAACTGAATAAAAGACACACACACACATACACACACAATCTGTTTGAAGCCCTGAGCTGCTGAGGCAACTAGGATTTGCCTGGAGAGACGAGAACTCTAGAAAAGTGAACTGAAATTCTTCCAGCCTCTTTTCCACTATGGAGATGTGTCAATTATTTGGCACAGGTCAAAAGTTCGAGACCCCAGGCTGAGGGCTACTTCTAAGAGGCCCGGAACCCAGCAGAGCTTTTTTGAATTCCCACGGGACTACCGAGATAAGAATTGTAACACAGCGCTGCAAAGGCAGCCAGAAATTAAGAAGCTACAGTATCTTGAGACAAGAGGCACAGTGCTTTCTTCTTCAAGGCATCTGACTTATTCTTAAACTATTCATATCAAGAGATTAAGGAGGGGTCACCCTGTGGCTGAGTGGTTAAGTTCCCACGCTCTGCTTCTGCAGCCCAGGGTGTTGCTGCTTCAGATCCTGGGCGCAGACATGGCACTGCTCATCAGGCCATGCTGAGGCGGTGTCCCACATGCCACAACCAGAAGGACCTACAACTAAAATATACAACTATGTACTGGGGAGCTTTGGGGAGAAGAAGAAGAAGAAAAAGAAAGAAGATTGGCAACAGATGTTAGCTCAGGTGACAATCTTTAAAAAAAAAGAGAGAGAGATTAAGGAAATAGAAACAGAAAATTACTAAGAAGAAGAATGGTGTTTAGTTTCACAAGGCTGTGAGAGAAATGTCAAGTTTATAATTTGCCAACAAGAAAGATCCTAGGAAAGACAGGGTAATAGATTCAAACGGAAGCACAGAGAGAAAAGGGGCTTAAAAAATTGAACAAAGTTGCATTGATCTGTTGGACAATATCAAGTGGAATAACAAATATTTAATAAGGATCCAGGAAACAGAGAAAGGGGAGATGCAGAAAAGACATTTTTGAAGATACAATGGCTGAAAAATTTCCAAATTTAATAACAGTTGTAAATCCAGATTCAGAAAACTCAATGAATCCCAAGCATGATAAGCACACCAAAGCACATCATAATTTATAAAAGTGCTGAAGAGACAGCCTTAAAATCAGCTAGAGTAAAAAAAGACAATTGCATATATAGTTAATAAATATTGTTCACTTCTCATAGAATGCAGGTCAGAAGACAATGGAATGTCACCTTTAGAATGATGAAGGAAAAAAATGTCAACCTAGAATTGTAGACCCATATTATAAATCTTTCAAAAGTGAAAGCAAAATAAAGACAATTTCAGTCTTCTTTGAGAATTTGTTGCCAGCAGACATGTGCTATAAAAATGTTTCCTTCAGACTGAAGGAAAATGATTCCAGATAGAACTCAGAACATGCAAAGAAAGAAAGTGCTAAAAATGATAAAAATGTGGGTAAATATAAAAGATGTTTTTCTCATTCTCTAATTTTTAAAATGTAACTATTCAAAGCAAGAATAATAAAAATTTATTGTAGATTAACAACAGCAAAAGGACAGGGGGGAGTGGGAGTATGCTGTTGTACGGTTCTTAAATTTTACATGAAATAGAACAGCATGTTAAAAGCTTCATAAACTGTGATCAAGGGGGATTTATCCTGGGATGCAATGATGGTTCATCATATACAAATGAGTAAATTTGATACACCGCATTCACAGAATGAAGGATAAAAATCATGTGATCATCTCAAGAGATGTTTAAATAGCATCTGACAGCCTTTCATGATGGAGACTCTCAACAAATTAGGTCTAGAAGGAGTGTTCCTCAACATAATAAAGGCCACCTATGACAAGCTGCCAGCTAACATCAAGCTCAACGGTGAAAAGCTGAATGTGTTTTCTCTGAGATCAGGAACAAAATGAGGATGCTCACTCTCGCCACTTCTTTTCAACATGGTACTGAAGTCCTAACCAGAGCAATGAGGCAGGAAAATGAAATAAGAGGCATTGAACTTGGAAAGGAAGAAGTAAAGTTGTCTCTTTTGCAGATGACATGGTCTTATATGTAGAAAACCCTAAAGAATCCACCCCAAAACTGTTAGAAATAATAACTGAATTCAGTCAAGTTGCAGGACACAAAATCAACATCCAAAAATCAGTTGCATTTCTTTCTTTTTTTTTTTTGCTGAGGAAGATTTGCCCTGTGCTAACATCTGTTGCCAATCTTCCTCCATTTTTTTGCATGTGGGTTGCTGCCACAGCATGGCAGATGAGTGGTGTAGGTCCACACCTGGGATCCAAACCTGCGAATCTGGGCCGCCAAAGCGGAATGCACCAAACTTAACCACTACACCACCAGGCTGGCCCCTCATTTGCATTTCTGTACGCTAACAACATACTGTCTGAAAAAGAAATAAAGAAAACAATCCCATTTGCAATAGCATCAAAAACAATAAAATGCTTAGGAATAAATTTAACTGAGAATAACATTTGAAGATGGACTATAAGTTAAAGATCCGTATGATAAATCCCAGAACGACCACTAAAACAGTAAAACAAAAATATATGGCTAATAAGGCAATAGTGGAGATACACAGAATATTTTTTTAAATACTCCATTAATTCAAAATTAAAGGAGAAAACAGGCAAAATGCAACAAATCACAGATGGGACAAATAGAAAACCATTGCAAGATAGTAGATTCAGTTCAACCAATAATTACATTAAAAACAAGTTGTAGGGTTCGAATGCCATCTCCTAAAAAGTCCTTCAAGCTCTAATAGTAACAAAATAAAAGCAACAGAATTTCTTACTTGAGAAATATAAAAATCACCTTATTGAAGACCAATCTTGAATGCCTATTATTATTAATTATCTACCAATAAGGGAAATCTTTACTGTGCTTCAAATTCCTATATGTACAGATCATCTGATCTTATAAATCGCTTAGATGGTGATGAAAATTAACATACCTTCCAGTGAATTATGAATCTTTTGTCCCCACTTGGAAAAATAGTTGGAACCACCTCCTGCCCAGGGAAAACAAATCAGCCTAAAGATTGCACCAGGGTTTTGGTATAAGCAGTTCACAACTTTTGCATTCCTAGGGAGAAAATTCAAATATATTTAACATTACATACATCAATTAACCTGGACAAACTGAATTAGGTGTATTTTAATGGAAATCTGTGTTAATTATAAGGAGGATATGTTCAAATATAAAGTGATTGCCAATTTTTCCAATAAGAAAGGCCCAAAAAGGCTGTTATGGGTTTTTGTGTGTGTATGTGAGGAAGATTGTCCCTGAGCTAACATCTGTGCCAGTCTTCCTCTGTTTTATGTGGGATGCCGCCACAGCATAGCTTGACGAGTGATGCTAGGTCCGTGCCTGGGATCCAGGCCTGTGAACGCCAGGCTGCCAAAGTGGATCACGCGAACTTAACCACTACTCCACTGGGCCAGCCCCCAGAGTCATTTTTTTAGAAGTGCAAAAATCTTCACTAGAGACTACCACAGTTTGGTGAAAACTGCATAGCAAATGAGTGACTTTTCTGAACCTCTTTTTTTTTTAGTCTATTGAAGAGTCTAGGAAACTTATTTGAATTCAACATTTCTTTAAAGCAGTTGCATATTTTTAAAGTCAAGAATCCCTACTTCAATCTATTTTAAATTATTTGCATTCTAATTCGCAAAAAAATGTGTTAGGACAAGAGTGGGTTTTGCAGTTCCTGACTCCTGTGTAATTTGTGGGAGTGGGGGAAGTTCTTTAAGAAAAATAATAAGAAGTTATGAATACAAAATTCGGTGCGGAAACTTTGATCATTAGTTTCAAGATACAAACCATCTACTTCCGGTGAGGATGGAGGTAGGAACTGCCTTTCGCTTATTTAGAGCAATGTCAGTCTTGGTGGGTCCTCGGAACCCACACTGATGGGAGGCCTACACTGCACGTGAACCCATGGCCAAGATCCCACGAGAAGGGAGAGCCTGGGAGGGTAGTGCCCATTGCTGCTGAGCCTGGACAAAGAGCAGAACTGCTCTCACTCTTGGGTTCTTGCCTATCTCCCCATCCATCCAACTTCTTCTCTCAACCTAGAGAAGGAATCAAAGACCAATTCAGAACTGACCTTGCCGAGTGCAGCCAATCCTCCAGGTAGAAGCCTTCCAGTTGAACTTGCCCTCTCTTTCTCTTCCCCCCTCTTCATTTTTGAGTTACATAATAGAAATCTAAAACTTTAGAGTTGAGAGGGATCAGAGAGAAATCATTTAATCCACTATTAGAACCTAGTGACTCTGACTGTGGAGACAGAGACCTAATCCCGTCTGATCCAAATCATGGCTACACCCCTGTTGATATGGCATTAGGCAAATGACTCGAGGACTTTAGTCTCAATGTCTTCATGTGTAACATAATAAAGTCTTGCCTACACTTTGATTAAATGTGTTAAAAATGCTTTGCATGGTTTTAGGCACACACTCAACAAAAATAAATGTTACCTGTTATTGCTTATTTGACAGTTGAAGAAACTGAGACTCTGAGATGGTAAGTCACTTGCGCAAGGTCACCGAGACAGTTAGTGACAAATCAGGAATTACAACACAAATCCTAAAGCTGCTTTCTGACTGAACCCTTTCCCCATATTCTCAGCATCAATATACAAGTGGACCACTAAGCGGCAGGAAGTGGAGAGCAGACCTGGGAAGCTGTGGGTTAGAGAGGCAGGGACAAGAACTTCTTTTCCCTGTTGGTGCTTAAATTGAACCTCTCCTTCACCTCTCCTAATCCACACGAGTGCTTCAGCCAAGTCATGGATTTACAATTTCACTTTAAAGTCACTACCAAATCAGTGGCATTTTACATACTGAGTGGTTAGTGCCATTTACAACACCTTGCACCAGGGGCAATCGCCACCCAATGAGGCTTCTGTGAGAAGCCCCTTTCAATCTGACAAAGCAACCTCCAGAGGCAGAGTAGTGGGACATGAAGGGTGGAGGAAGAACCAGGTTGCACACAGAATGACGTACCTGGCCATCCCAGCTTTGCCTTTTCTCTCCATGCTGTGAGAAGATGGTGCGAAGTTGCTGGTCACAGCAACTTGTTGGCCAATGCCGAATTCAGTACCTCTTTGGGTATAAAACCTCTGATCAGCCTTGTGCACACACAGCAGTGACCAGATTTCTTTTTACTGCTCCAACCCCTGTTAAAAAAAAAAAAAGAAAAGGAAGAAATAGATTAGAAGCAACATAAATGATGCAGTCCAAGAATAAGGAGTCGCCTGCCTCAGTTCATATTCAGTGACCAGTAAGTACTTCCATAAGCCAAACCTCCAGCTAATCTACAGAAAGACAAAGACGCCACATTTCTAAACAATAGCAACTGAACAATCCTGCAGGTAAACACTCAATATGCATGCAGAAAACTCTCAATACCTACTAGAAAATTGGGGTAAGAGGAGATGTCTGTTTTTAAAATATGAATGTCTTGGTTTTCTAGATATTTATAAAGTTGTTCTCCCTTAAATCTTAAGGAAGAGTTAGAGTGTCTAAAAAAGACTTCACTACCGTGCCAAACTTCCAGCGTTGCAAGTTGCAAATATTCAGAAAAGAGAAGAAAAACAATGACCAGAAGTTCTGTCCTTTCTAGAGGCTTTGATCTCTTTACTTCCTGGGAGTTCCTTGAAGCCCAAGCAGTAATCACGTCAAAACCCCAGTCTACTCAGCTGTGAATCCCAGAAGGGCTCCTAGGAGCCTAGGCCAATCCCTCCACCTACGGTGCAGTGCAAGGCCCTTGGAGGAACAGAAAGACTTGTTTAAATAGAGCAGGAAGGTTCACTGAGGTGACAGATCCTTTTGTCTCTCAGAGCCTTTTCTAAGAAATAATGGATCAGAGCCATCGTAAACCCTCAGAAGAACCACCTGGAAAGTACGTTAGGCGTTCTCGGACTTCTGTGGGAGTCTGTCCGTCTTAGGTAATGACATAAGGTGCCCTAAAAGATGACTCTTCTACCCAGGAAAATAGACAGGTCATAGGCGGGAAACGTATTTTCAGTGCTTACAACTGAAGGCCGTCATTGAGTGCTGCAAAGCTTCAATAAAATTAGGCTAATTCCTCCAGCTCTTTCTAATTGAAATAGGTAAAACCCTTCTTTCTGATGTCATTTTATTTTTGACTTGGCACATCTTGGGATCAGTTATACTTGGGAGAAGTAAACATTTATTCAATTTATTCAAATGTATTTATTCAGATTTATTTCCTGAAGGCCCATGATCAAGGTCTCAGGTAATATCTCAACATTGGAGTTATCCCAGGTAAAAACTGTAATGATTCCGCCCTCAAGAGAAAACCACTAGAAGCATCTATTTGACTGGAGACCCAGAGGAGATAAGAGAGGGAATCAGGTAGAAGGAATATTCACAAGGCAATGGCTTAGATTTTTCTAGAAATGATGCATGACACTAGTCCAAAGATAAAAGATGCCCAGCAAATGCCAAGCAGAATAGATTAAAAAGAAAGCAAGCTACCATATGGGTGCATTATAATGAAACTGTAAAACAAAGAAATAAATATAAAAGACAAATATTAAAAGCAGCCAGGACGGTGAGGAAATGGGGATGAATTATTATCTTATTATCTTGGAAAGAACTGCAGTTAGATTGACGGAAAGCTAGAAGAGAGTATGATGATATCTTCAAGTGCCAAAAGAAAAATTGCCAAATTAGAATTTGCGAAACAGCTTTTAAGAAACGGGGTAAAATAAAGACATTTCAGACAAGTAGAAACTAAGTTTGTCACAGAAGACACTCTCTAAATGAAATTTTAAGGGAAATACTTTCAGCAGAAAGTAAATGACCGCAGATGGAAGATCTGAGATGCAAGAAGGAATGAAAAACAAAGATGGTGATAAATATGTGAGCAAATATAAATAAACATTGATTACATAAAATAGTAATTGTAATGTCTAGGGGGCCCTAAAATATATATGGAATTAAAATGCCAGACAAAAATAAGGTGTAAGTCAGGAGCATGTACAAGAAGGTCCTTATACTACCTTTGAGGTTTCATTAAATTTGGACTTTAAGAAATATGCAAGTTTTAATTTGTAAAGCAAGTCCTTAAAAGAACAGAACAACATACCATAAGTCACCCTTCCTGGAAGAGAGGAATGTTTAGTCAGTCACAAAGAAAAGAGAGAAAAGTAAAGAAAAAGGTAAAACAGAGAGAATACGCAATACAAGATGGCAGACTTAAACACCAAAGATAGTGGTGTTGTTTTATATTACATATCAATGCACTAAATTCTCTATGTACAAAGCAAAATCATCAGATTGGATTCAAAAATAATCCAGCTATATGCTGTGCATATGAGATGTACCTAAGAAGATATTACTCTTAGTATTTTAAAATGATTTCAAATGTCAAATACTTACTGCCAGGTCCTAGAGTTGGCACTGAGGAAACAATCTCGGAAAGATGACTAGCTACCTGCCAGGCAAAGGGAAATAGACGAGGAGAATAGAGTGACTTGAGAACAAGGCAGAGAGAACAGCGTGTGCCCAGCGGAGAGATGGGATGTGGTCAACTGGGAAACAAAGGAAGTTAAATATGGCTGGAAGGCGGAGCATGGGGAGCAGGTGGGAAGAGAAAAAGCCAGGAGGTAAGTAGGGTGATGACCTTGTAAGCAAGCCATGTGAGGGATTTTGGACTGGATCTTAAGAACAGTGAGATCCATTGAAAGGTACAATGACCAGAATTGCCTTTCGGAATGATGGCTCTGGCTACAAGGTAGTGACAAAGAGAAAATTAGGAGGTGATTGTAATCATCTAACAGAGAAAGGATGGTGACCTGGCCTAATCATAATATCAGCGAACACTTCCAGAAGACTTACTAAGGGCCAGTCATTGTTCTATGTTTTAATAGGTATTAAGTCTTTTAATTTTCACAATTATGTAGGTGCTCTTCATAAAAACCATGAAGGTATTATTATCATCTGCATTTTGAAGATGAAAAACTAAGGCACAGAGAGGTTAACTGACTGACTAAAAGGCACGTGTTGGAAGGGAGCAGACCCAAGCAGTCTGGCTCCAGAAGCTGCGCTCTTAAACCCTAATGCATCCCCTCATTGTGCTAAGGGGCTGGATTCCACAGCTACCGCAGACCCTGGAGTCAACAGGAATTGGCGATTTACTAGATATGGGGAGTGTGGCGGGGGAGGAATCAGGATGATGCCCAGCTTTCTGGCTTGGGCACCGGGGTGCATGACGGTGTCATTTACTCAAATGAAACGCAAGAGGAGTGCATTTGGGGGGCAGGTGATGTGTTTAGATTGAATTGTTAAGTTTGAGGTACCTGTGAGGCCTCCGAGGGAAGATTTTCAGAAAGTACTTGGGCATTGGGATCTGGATCTCAGGAGAGTGTCTGGGAGTAGACTTGGGGGGTGTCTGCACTGAGGGGAAGTTGAAGCTGAGGGATGGAATGAGAAGAGCTGGGAGAGAACAGAGAGCAGTGTTCTTAACTGGGAGTGGAGCCAGAGAAGGAGGCCAGAGACTCCTCCAAAACTCATTTCCTAGAAGAAATGCCCATGCCTGTTTGTTGTATTGGTGCCCAGTGCCATTTCAGGGAGTGGGGGTTATGGACACCCCCCTCCCCCAACCTGTGGACTCACTGAGAGCTGGGGGTTTTCAAGTTAAGAGTGACAAGAGGGGCTGGCCTGGTGGGGTAGTGGTTAAGTTTGGCACACTCCACTTTGGAGGCCCAGGGTTGGGAGTTCAGATCCTGAGCAGGGACCTACACCACTCGTCAGCCATGCTGTTGTGGTGACCCGCATAAAAAATAGAGGAAGATGGGCCCAGATGTTAGCTCAGTGCTAATCTTCCTCACCAAAAAAAAAGAGTGACAAGAAAATGGGCTAAGACAGAGCCCTGAGATTTAAGGGCAGGCAGAGAAAGAGAAGCTGCCAAGGAAGCTTGGGTGAGGAGGCCAGGAAAGTAGAAGGCCAAAGCAAGGGGGCCCCTCAGGTAGGGGCCGCTTTGCAGCAGCATGTGCCCCATATACTGGACAGCAAGTAGAAATGCAAGCGCAGTAGGAAGGTGCTGGATGAGTGACTCCAAAGTCAGCTACAGATGCCACTTTATGGGGAGATTTTAAAATCTCCAGCTTCTCTATGAGCAGCTATTCCTTAATCAAAATGCTGGCAATTTTTTGAAAGAGTTGAGTGGTAATGTTACAGACACCTGGAACGATTGGCTAATGCTCTCAGAACCTACACTTCATCACTCTCTCCTTGTACCCTCCTCTTGACTCTGACCACATCTTAACCTTTCTCCTGATAATCTCTCCAACACCACTCAGGTTGCCCAAGACTCGCACTTGTCTGCAGATGGCCCTGAGGGCTGGGGTAAGGCACTTCCTGATCCATTCTGGCTGCGTTCCTGGCCCCTAGCTCTTTGCCTTGGCAGTACAGAGAGAGCACTCAGAAGTCTTTCCCTTGGCTGAAGTCGCTGCCAAACCTACAGAGGAAAGAGTAGTGCTTACAGCAGTGAAGAGCAGAGCCGGCGTCCCTGAAGATGAGGTCACTTCAGATTAATGACTCCCAGATGTAGACAGTTCAGGCCAAGGAATTTACAGGGATGTGGGATTTTCCACACCATCCCTTTGCCCCACACAGACACTCCTCTGCCTGTGGACAGCGCAGTAGAAGTAGAGGTCAACAGGCTGTCAGATAAGCCTGCGTATACACCCTACCCAAACAGGTCCATTGACAGCGAGTAACATATAGCTCTTGCTATTAATAATTCTTAGGAGATTTGAGATCCCAGTAATGTGACTTCAAAGTACTCTTATCAGACTCTGGACCAGGGCCTCTTGAAAGATTCACCAGCAGCGTTCCTTAGCAGACTTCTCATGAAAGGCAGACACTACTGCAGTGTGTGGAAAGAGTCCGCGCTAACTTCTAGAAACTCAGCCACGGTGTGGCCCTGGGCAAACCACACACCTCCGTGGGCTTGCATTTCCTTAACTGCCTCGTAGGTTTGGGGTGAAATCAGTGGAGAATGTCTGTGAACAGCCCTTGAGTTCGCAACTTTGCAAGTTGGAAAATGGTATGCTACGTGCCTGTGCTTGGCTTCCTCTCCTCGGGGTACGTTCTACCCCCATACTTCCTCCTGGGGCCCCAATACAGTGCTGCAAAAAGAAAGTAGGAGATGCTTGACGGGGAGAAAAACTGGGGCACAGAAGATGGTGGTGCTTGCACCATTCCCAGGATTTGGAATGTCACTGCTCTAACTGCCTGTACTTTCTCTGGTCTGTAGCTTCCTTTTCTCTAATTTTGCTTCTTTGTGCTCATAGAAAGCCCTTCTCCCTCCCCTGCTGCCTCCTCTCCTTGCTCCACTCAACTCCTACTTCTAGAAAGTTCAGTGAATGACCCCAGCTTTTTTAAAAAATATATTTATTTATTTTTTTTGAGGAAGATTAGCCCTGAGCTAACTGCTGCCAATCCTCCCCTTTTTTGCTGAGGAAGACTGGCCCTGAGCTCACATCCGTGCCCATCTTCCTCTACTTTATATGTGGGACACCTACCACAGCATGGCATGCCGAGCAGTGCCATGTCTGCACCCAGGATCCAAACTGGCACCCGGGCCACCAAATCGGAACGTGTGAACTTAACTGCTGCGCCACCGGGCCAGCCCAACCCCAGCTTTTTAACAGTGCTTCCCATTAGAAAACTGACCCTATAGTCTGAGATACTGTCTGATTTCAGCAAAGGTCACAATGGTGCCCAGTGCAGGCTCCCAAGATGATGACTCATTAGTCCATCGTGGAACACACCTGCAAGACCAAAATGGCAGAGCCACAGGTTACTTCCAACCTCTAGAAGCTCTGGGATGGGCTAGTCTACCTTCACCACCATTACAGCACAGTATGGCCTCACCCTTGCCCCATCACTGCGTTTCCCTTTGGAGTTTCTTGGTGTCCTTTCTTGCCTGTCAAAGAAGTTCTAATAATGTTGAACGTCAAAAAGATGGAGCCTGCCCTCTCCTTCTAGGAGGTTTCTTGGACCCTATAAAAATGTCTCCACTTCTTTCTCTACTAGCAGTGACACAAAGTAAGGATTATCGGGAGAGCAGCTTGCCTTAAGTTAGAAAAGGATTATTCCTTCCTTAGGGCCATGGGTGTCTATCTGTCTCTGACTTAACTAAGAGGTAGGGGTCATTCTAGTGCTTTCTCAAACAGCCAGCAGGCTCCTATTTCCCAGGAGCTTTTCCTAAAGGTCTACCTTACCAGTCTCTTCTCTCTCTCTCCCCTCTCCTTTCCTCCCTTCCCGCCTCTCCTTCCTCTCCTCCTCCTCCTTGCTCTCCTCTCTTCCTTCTTCCCTCTCTACCTCTTTCTAAGTATATATATGCTAATAATGTTAATGAAAGGAATCAGTCGTGCTTATATGCCTAGATTTTAAGTCATGAAAGAATTTGATCTTTATAGTCACTCATCTTGATTAAATACATCCAGAAACCTGAATTTATGAACCTTAAAAATTAAGGAGCCTCTGATTTCTAACAGTTATTCCTGCTAAATATAAAATCCACAGTCAGTCAAATTGCTCACTGAGTCCTACACTTTTCTTCCTTGATAGATATCAGAATGAAGGAAGCTGCTTTTCGCAAGAGGTAGAAATACAGGACCAGATTCGGTTACCACTTCTCTGAATTGAAGAATATGTTGACTTTCACGCCTTCTGAGAACGACTTCAGGCATCGCTTCCTATGCCTGAAATGGCAATAGTGAGAAACCTATGCATCCAGCACTTTCAACAGGAAGTCACAAAATTCCCTGTGGGATGGTTTTCGTTTTGCATAATTTATTTGTGTCTTGGTCAAGAAGTCTCCTTCTGAGATACTTGCAAACTGCCTATTACCTTTAAGGCAATATGGCCATGGAGCAAAGATGTTGAGCAGTAGCTAGGAATGGGCATCCAGATGGCTCTCATAGTGGATTTCACTAGTGTAAACAATTTTCATTGTTGTTTTATAGATTATGTGCAATAACGAAAGGAACTTAGGTAAACCAGTAAAAATCACCCCATGAAAGGCATAAAATAAAATAAATTAAGCATAATCAAAATACATTTTCCTCAATGCAAAAAAATCTGTATAGCTATAGTTTAGTATGAATAGAAAGGATCTAGTGTGTGCTTTGAATCCAGTGTGTCTGGGGCCATATCCTGGCTCTACCATTCAATGAGCTCTGCAGCACAGAATCTCTCTGTGCCATGCTGGGTTATTGTGAGAATTTGTGAGTCTCAAATGTTAGCTATAGTCCTTTTGATTAGAAAGAAATACGCCAAAATTGCAACATATTTTTTTCTTTGGGCATGGAACCATAAATGACTTTTAATTTTCCTACTTAGGAAAATTTCCTAAATGGTCTTTAGTGAGCAGGTATCATTTCCAAATGAGGAAAAAAATCCAATGATTTCTAGTTCATTCTGGTAAGAAGTTATTCCTACTTTTATATCATAGGGCTCAACTAAAGTCTTAATAATAGACTTCTATTTGTGAGTCATTAGTAGAATGTATTATTCATCCATCTATTCACCCATCCGTACTAGAACGACAATGGTGGGAGATACAGAGACAGATAAAAAGTGTAGATTTCTGCTTCTAGGTGTTCACAGTCTTGTTAGGAGGCTCGGCATGGATAAGAAAACAGGTTTTTACGACAGCATGTGATCAGTGCTGAAATCAAAATGCTGTGAGTTGGGTTCTATTCAAGATGGCAAGGTAGGAACATCCCAAACTCACCTCCTCCCACAGACACACTGAGTCCACAACTGCATATGGAACAATTTCTTCTTAAAAAAACAAAAGCCTGGGGCTGGCCAGGTGATGCAGCGGTTAAGTTCACACGTTCTGCTTCGGTGACCCGGGGTTCGCTGGTTGGGATCCCGGGTGCAGACATGGCACTGCTTGGCATGCCATGCTGTGGTGGGCATCCCACATATAAAGTAGAGGAAGACGGGCACAGATCTTCCTCAGCAAAAAGAGGGGGATTGGTGGCAGATGTTAGCTCAGTGCTAATCTTCCTCAAAAAAGAAAAAAAAAAGCAAAAGCCTGGCTGAGCGACAAGTACACAGTGGGCAAACAAAAAGAAAACCTCATTGAGGCAAGTACGAGAGGCTGGGACACAATGTTGTGATAAACCCCACTCCCCAGCACAGCAATGCACAACTGGGAAGGAACTCAGACCCAGAGCTTCTCCCTGAGGAGGAAGGGGTTCAGACCCCACCTCGAGCATCCCAGTTTTGAGGATGCACATTTGAGAGATAAGCCCCCAGAACATCTGGCTTTGAAAACCAACAGGGCTCATGTCCCAAGACCCACAGAAGCAGCCATCTGAGAAGCTACTCATAAACAGCTCTGGCTCAGACTCACCCCAGCGCTCAGCTCGGAGGCAGTTGATTACCCAGACTTAGGTGAACAAGGCTTACCTGTTTATGTTAAGTCCTCAGCTGGCGGGGCAGGTATCTAACTTAACACGTACATCCAGGAGCCTGCTGGAACACTCTCAAAGTCAGAGTCCGGCTGGCACCTTTCTTCCTGCTCTCCCTCTGCATGACCCTGAGCACTGGTGTCTCCTGGAGGGACCTTTATACCATCTGTTTTTTTTGGCTGCCACACAGCGGGCACTGCTTGATCACCTGCCTATGGTGGTGGTAGAGCTTGCATTCCTGGGCTCAACGGCACTGTAGCCATCTGGGATACAGTTCTTGGTAGGCTGTCACCCCCAGGGCACTGCACAGACCAGAGCACACACCCAAGTCTTTCTGTGGAGGAGGGCTCTGCCTTTCCTGGAGCTTTGACTTAAGGGGCAGGCTTCAGGTTTTATACGTATTTAGTGGCCTAGGAGCTTCTCTCTAGAAAGTAGGCTGTGGACACCATCTTGGTCCTCTCCCTCTGCCCTGATCCAGCTCACTGCTGCCCCCAGGAAAGAGTTTATGCACACTTCTGGAGCACTGATTTCTGCAACTGCCACTCAGGGAATGCCTCCAGATTGCCTTGATGGCCAATGGGGCTTAAGCTTGCAGTCTGCAGAACAGTATATATTTGTGTATTTTGAAAAGCTGATGCCTGAGGATCTGGCTTCCGGTCAGCCTGAATCTAGGTGTTGAGATCTTCCCCTGTGGGATGCTGACAGGTCTTGATAGTATGAGTTATTAAAAATAAAATATGCTGCTTGGACAAACACAAAGTTTTGAGAGACAACCAAGAACTGAGGCAGAATTGAACAACACAGTTCATCTTCTACATGAGGCCACACCTTCAAGACGGGGGTGGGTGGTTGTTTGATCTACTGTATAAAAACAAATACACAGAGTCAAGCAAAATGAAGAAATGCAGGAATATGTTCCAAAGGTAAGAACAAGATAAAACCTCAGGATAAAACCTTAATGAATTGGAGATAAGTAATTTACCTGATGGAGTTCAAAATTGCAGGTGTACAACATTATAATTAGACATCTGTACACACTACAAAGTGTCACCTCCAAAAGTCTAGTTACAATCCATCACCCTACTGTTGATCCCCTCCACTCCATTCGTGTACCCTCCAAACCCCTTTCCCCTCTGGTAACCACGAATCTGTTCTCTGTATCTGTGAGTTTTGTTGTGTGTTTTCTTTTGTTTTTAGACTCCACATATGAGTGAAGTAATACTGTACTTGTCTTTCCTGTTCTGACTTATTTCACTTAGCATAATACCCTCGAGGTCCATCCATGTTGCTCCAAATGGCAAACTTTTGTTCTTTCTTATGGCCGAGTAGTATTCCGCTGTGTATTTATACCATATCTACTTTATCCAATCACCTATTGATGGATACTTAGGTTGTTTCCATATCTTGACTATTGTAAATAATGCTGCAATGAACATAGGAATGCATATAACTTTTCAAACTATATGATAATAGTAATAATAATAATAGTAATAACTTTTAAGAGTTCAAAGTAATCACCATAAAGATGCTCACTGAACTGAGTAGAAGAATGGATGACCACAGTGAGAAATTCAACAAACAGATGAAAAATATAAGAAATTGCCAAATAGAAGTCCCAGAACTGAAGGATATAAGAATTGCACTGAAAAATACACTAGAGGGGTGCAGCAGCCAACTAGATGAAGTAGAAGAAAGGATCAGTCAACTTGAAGATAGGGCAGTGGAACTTAGAGCAGCAAAAAGAAAAAAGAATGAAAAGAAGTAAAGATAGCTTAAGGACTTATAGGACAACATCAAACAGCCTAACTTCACATCATGGGCTCTCAGAAGAATAGGGAGAAAAAGGGGCAGAAATCTTATTTGAAGAAATAAGGGCTGAAAACTTCCCTGACCTGGGGAAGGAAACAAACTTCCACATCCAGGAAACCCAGGGAGTTCCAAATAAGATAAACCCAAAGAAACCCACACCAAGACACATTATAATTAAAACGTCAAAAGTTAAACACAGAGAATATTAAATTAAAAGCAACCAGAGAAAAACAATTTGTTATATACAAGGGAACTTCCATAAGATAATAAAGAGATTTTTCAGCAGAAACTTTACGTGCCAGAAGGGAGTGGCTCATTATATTTAAAGAGCTGAAAGAAAAAACTTTCAACCAAGAATACTCTTCCCAGCAAAGTTATCATCTAGAAGTGAAAGAGAGATAAAGAGTTTTCCAGATAAGCAAAACTTAAAGGAGTTCATCACTAGTAAACTGGCCTTACAAGAAACGGGTGTTTTTTTCCCTAAGATTGGCACCTGAGCTAACATCTGTTGCCAATCTTTCTTTTTTTTTTCTTCTTCTCCCCAAAGCACTCCAGTACATAGTTGCATATTCCAGCTGTAGGTCCTTCTGGTTGTGCTGTGTGGGACGCCACCTCACTGTGGCCTGATGAGCGGTGCGATATCCATGCCCAGGATCTGAACCAGCGAAACCCTGGGCCACTGAAGCAGAGTGCACGAACTTAACCACTTGGCCACAGAGCCAGCCGCACCAGAAGTGTGAAAGCAACTTCTTTTAGCTGAAAAGAAAAAGGGTGGTATTAGTAACAAGAAAACATATGTAAGTATAAATCTCACCAGAAAGGTAAATATATAGTAAAAGTAGTGGATTAATCACTTATGAAGCTAGTGTGAAGGTTAAAAGGCAAAAGTAGTGGGGCCAGCACAGTGGTGTAGCGGTTAAGTTTGCATGCTCTGTTTCAAAGGCCTGGGGTTTGCTGGTTCAGATCCCAGGTGCGAACATTGTACTGCTTATGAAGCCATGCTGTGGTAGGCATCCCACATATAAAGTAGAGGAAGATGGTCATGGATGTTAGCTCAGGGCCAGTCTTCCTCAGCAAAAAGAAGAGGACTGGTGGGTGGATGTTCACTCAGAGCTAATCTTCCTCAAAAAAAAAAAAGACAAAAGTAGTGAAAATAGTTATGATTTCAATTATTAGTTAATGGATACACAAGATAAAAAGATGTAAAATGTGACATTAAAAACAAAAAGTGACGGGGGCTGGCTCCGTGGCCGAGTGGTTAAGTTCGTGCACTCTGCTGCGGCAGCCCAGGGTTCGGATCCTGGGTGAGGACATGGCACCGCTCGTCAGGCCACGTTGAGGCAGCATCCCACATCCCACAACTCGAAGGACCTGCAACTAAGATATACAACTCTGTACAGGGGTGGGGGGGGGGCGGATTGGGGGAGATAAAGCAGAAAAAAAAAACAGATTGGCAACAGTTGTTAGCCCAGGTGCCAATCCTTAAAAAAAAAAGTGTGGGGGAGGGTAATGTTCAGCTTTAGAATAGGATCAAATTTAAGTTGTCGTTAATTTAAACTAGACCGTTATAGATATTAGTTGCTGTATGGCCTATCCATTTTCTAAAAAAGATTGGCCTGATGTGAAAGCATCAGCTGTGCTCTCCGCAAGACGAACTGGGAAAACACAAATCACACAGACTCAGGGAACCAAAACTGCGTCTGATGGTCCCGGGGACCGTGTGTCTGAAGTGAGTCTTGCTGCAGAAAGATAATCTGGCATTTAGAACATTCGAGCTAATTACTAAAAATGCTCCAGGCAAAAACTGCCTACCAACTTGTTTGGAATGGCTCTTACCTGTAACAAAATGTGTTCCATGGTCGAAAATGGCAGACCATGACTGAAGCTCACGTTGACTCCAACTCTACGGGTGGTTATTTGCTTCACTGCTCTGTGTAAATCTATGTTTCCTCTTACCGCCATAACAAATGACCACAAACTGAGTAGCGTAAAACAGCACTAGTTTATTTTCGTATAGTTCTGGAGGCCAGAAGTATGAAATGGATCTCATTGGGTAAAATCAAGGTGTTGGTGCGGCTCTGCTCCTTCTGGAGACTTCGAGGGGGAATTCATTTTCTTGCTTTCCCAGTTTCTAGAAGCTCTATGCATCTATGCATTCTTTCCCTTTTGGCTCCTTCCCTGCATCCCTCAGACCTCGGCTTCCATCATCGCATCTTCTCTAACTGACTCACATGCTGCCCTCTTTAAGGACCTAGTGACTACCTTGGGCCCACCCAGGTATTCCAGGATAATTTCTCCATCTCGAGTTCTTTAACTTAATCACGTCTGCAAATTTTTTTTGCCAGGTAAGGTACCATATCCACACGTTCCAGGGATAAGGATGTGGCTGTCTTTGGGGGCAATCATTCTGCCTATCACAGGGTGTTTAAAAGAAAGTAGTATCCAATTCAGAATACTTCTTATGCTCAGCACCTGGGGGTCTGCCAAATCTGGAAGATGATGGAAATCATGACTAGAGAGGTACAGATGAATGACTTGTAAGTGCCAAGTAAGATGATCTCAAGCAGTAGTGGGAAAGGCATAAAACAGGCTTGCCGATCTATTTATCCTTCCCCTTATGTGTTTGTTCAGAAAAATAAAAAAGTGCTGAAGATGCATGACTTTGAATTGATAAGCTAATGGAGCTTCCTTGGGAGGACAGTTCTGGAAGACAGGAGCCCAAGTTGAATGAATTGATGGATATGAGCCCTTTACCCAAAATTCTATCTAAAGGTCAGAGCTTATAAATGGTAACAAATGAAAAAATCATATCAGTGAAAAAAGCTGCAATAAAAGGATATCTTTCATCTATTTAGTCTCAAAGCCCTCATGACTCACTCATGTGGAGGGACTTCTTAAGTCTTAGAGGTCAATGCAATCATTGACCTTCCTCACTTATTAGCACTTAGGCTGTTTCTGTGGTGATTCCAGGCACCATTGTAATATAAGTTGTCTGGGTGGGGAACACAGAAGCCCACCCTGGGACAAGGCTTCAAATACAAGGAGTTGACTCGGGTGGAAGGGTCCTTGGCAGCAGCGTGGGGGCAGTGGCAAGGAAGGGGGCCATGCAATAGATTATGCAGCAGCCAGATGCGGCTGCAGATGACGGGAGCTAACTCCTGCTGGGGATGCTCTGGGTACCAGTGTGAAACACACACCTCAGTCTGATTCCTCCCGAGGTGGCAGGCTGCTGGGCCCTCTATACACTTCTGCCACATCAGTCATTGGCTGAGGGTGCTCCCTGGGGCTGTCCTTCTTTGGCATTTCCCATCTACTCAGCAAGAGGCAAAGGACACCAAGGCAAGAGAAAGCCCTTGAGCCACACGATGCAGATGTGGCAGTTCACAGCGATGGTCTTGTAAAGTGGTAAAGGCTGGGGTGTGTGTTGGGGGGTGAGGGGGGCACTAGCATAACCACTGGAACGGTTTCCAATGGGTCTGTTTTTTCCCTGCCTAATGGTTATGCTAGCACAGTTAAAGCGTCAGGAAGAACAGGACCAAGACTAAGATGGATACCACTTTAATGCTTCTGCAGTTATATTTTAGAATAGAACAGGATTAAGTTTGATGGCTTTTGTGTTTCCAAACATTCAACTGAAGTTTTGCATTTTGAATTATTTTGTAGAATGACAAACATTTACATAATGTAGGATGAAACAATGAATTCTTAAAAGATGACATCAAATAATACAAAGAAGAAAGGCTAGTAAGCATAAATTTTCACTTTGTGGACTTCCTTGTCGTCACATTCCCTCTGTTTGTCGTAGTAATAGAAAGTATTGTCCCTTCTCTGAAGTTTCTTCACATATCCTGTCTCTGGCCACCGATCTATCTGCACATATCAAAAAGCAGAATACAAACTTTGAAATGCCAGTTTTATACAATATTTTACTATCAAATAGTTAAAAGTACAACTCATGTCAAAAAATCCAATGTAAGGGCCTGGCCCCATGGCCAAGTGGTTAAACTTCCATGCACTCCGCTTTGGTGGCCTGGGTTCATGGGTTTGGATCCCGGGGGTGGATCTACTCCACTCACTGGCTATGCTGTGGAGGTGCCCCACATACAGAGTAGGGGAAGATTGGCATGGATATTAGCTCAGTGCTGGTCTTCCTCAAGCAAAAAAAAAAAAGAGGAAGATTGGTAATGGATGTTAGCTCAGGGCGAATCTTCCTCAGGAGAAAAAAATTAAATTTAAAAATACTGGAGCTCTTAGACACACAAACACACACACACACGAGACACATCAGAAGTTACAACCTTATACTGCAGAATAACTAATTCAGTGCTTCTCTCTAGACCCCAATTTCTAGATTGAAATTTCTACTCAGTAGCCCAGTTAAAACATTCAAAATTATCTAAACTTTATTTTTCTTATGTTTACAAATGATCTCAAACATTATTGCTTCCTAATTTCTAAAAGTAATTCCCCAGGAGGAAATTAGGGCTACGCCCTGGCCCCATTCTGAAAGCCCCTCCTGCTGATTATTGACGCTATAGCAGTGACTAAAGGAAGCATCTAGACTGGAGAAAGCTAAAGGTACATGTGTATCTCCTCATGTCCATAGTTCAAGTTTACCTTGAAACTCAATTTTAATAGACATTTGAGGTCATGAATATAGTCCTCAGCAATCTTTTCTCACCTTCTCTCTACCAGTCTTTCTTGAATGTCATATTAATTTGCTTACTTTATGGTTTGGCTCGATCTAGTTTGGACATTTTTCTCCCCTTCCTTGCTGAATTCATGTTATGCCTTCTTGGTCAAGTCAATGCACTTCTCTTGTTGTTAGATAAGTTCCTTCTGGATTGTCTGAGATGTACCCTATCATCGTCAAAAACTCATTATTCAGGTTTCACGGTCTAGAAAATCAAATCCTGTTCTTCAACACCATCTATACAAGCGGCGCTGGGCTTCTCACACTTCCCACTTATAAATCACAGCTCTCAACTGGAATAGGAAAACCCCGTGAAGACAAAGGAACGCACATCCTTTATTTTCTAACAACTCATTTTCATTTTCTTCTCTTGTCTCATTTATTTAGGAATTAGCAAAAAGAGATAGCAGAGTATCTGATAAGCCTTGCCAGGCTTTCCTGCACACACATTATAGAAATGAGTAATGCTTCCTATCGCTTCAGTCGAGCCAACCTTTTGTTGCTTCCATTGCCCTCTGCAGAGAAAGGAAGGTGTCCTCAAGATGCCGTTACAGCGCTCTTCCTTTGGGAGCCAGCAGCAGGTTCTCTTTCATTTACTAGGGCCCCGAAAACCATCTCTTTCAGTGGAGAAACAGTACAACTGCTGCTGCTTCAGAACACCCACAGCCCCTTTATATGGGATGAGCCTCCAAACAGCTATATTGGTTCTGTGTTCCTCAATCTCTAGGCATTTTCCTTTGATACCTCTTTGCTATTTCATAATTTTTTCTTCTTGGCTTTTTAGTCCATCGCTCCCATTCAATCTAGGAAACTTCATTCCTTAGTGTATGGTGGAGTGGAATGATAATGGTCCTCATATCCAGTTCTCAGTAGGGAGGGAGATAGGCAAGCCCTAATAGCGCTCATGAGGGTGAGTGCCGCTCAAGCCATGCAGACCACCGGATGCTGGTAGAGACATGCCCATCAAGCAAGCTTTCAGTTACCACCCTATCCATCCTTTAAGGCCCACTGCAAATGCCTCTGGGAGCATAAAGGCTTTTTGGAGAATTGTCCTCATACGGAAGCGATTTTTGTCTTCCTCTAAGTTCCTGTACTTTTTTTTTAAGGCACATATCTGTGGACTTGTATAAGATTTATTTTTCTTGTCATTATAAATCTTCTATTCCAAGAACATAAGCATAATAAAAGCTATCATTCATTAAACACTGTTCATTGACTCAATAAATTATTATTGAGCACTATGACAATGTCAGGCACTTCACACACACGATTTCATTTCATTCCTGTGACCATTTTCTACAGCAGGCACTGTCATTGCCATTTTACAGCTGAGCTCAGTGAAGTTCAGATCCTTGTTCAGGATTACCCAGCTAATGAGAGGGAAAGCCAGGACGCAAATCCTGGACAGACTAATTCCAAATCCTGTACTCTTCCCACGGGTCCTCTCAATTTCTTGAGGTCAGGCACTCACTTACTGAGATTTTTATCCCCTAACGTGCTTGGCCCAGAAATTTGCACATGGTAAATACCCCAAAATTTATACTGAATGCAAAACCTTTCCATAATTGCCAAGTCATACAGTGAACACTCATACGTTTGATCTTCCCTATGCCACACACACACACATACACCTCTCAGTTGTTTATTGGGACTTCCTCTTTAAGGATGTTGTGTTCTCTTAAATCTGATTTCATCTCAGTCACAACAGTGTTGAACATGGGGGTGTAGATGCAACATAGAGATGCCTATATAATCACATTGCCTATATGATCCCAGATCTTATGCATCTTTTAGGGGCATCTCAATCGTAATGCAAGGTATGAAGCTTATTTTTGAACAGCACTAAAACTGCTAATGGTTGTGTTTTATCTGTTTAAAAGCCATAGATGATACAGCAATGAAGACTACCTTTTGGTAATGGGGACAGAGTGAAATGTTAGTAGATGTCAGAAGATGAATATATGAAAATCACAGTCATCAAATCTTCATTTGATCAGTATTTTTAACTTCATTCTTCACCAACCATAATAATATCTGTTAAATTAATGTCCATTAAGTTCAAGTGTTTATTACATTTTAGCTCTGTATTGCCTCCATGCTGTGGTGGCGGCTCACACAGAAGAACTTAGAAGTGTCTACAACTAGACTATGCAACTATATATTGGAGTATAGGGATGGGGAAAAAAAAGGAAGATTGGCAACAGATATTAGCTCAGGGTGAATCTTTCATGGCAGAAAAAAAAAAAAAAAAGATTCATTTAACACAGCCCAGTTGCTCAACAAAAGCTGGATAGTTCTTAATGTTTCCATGCTGAGCCACCATCTCTTCCCCTAGTCTGCCTGAAAATCACTCTTGTGGGCCTCAGTCTCCTATCAATAAAATGAGAAAGCTGGAGTAGAATTCCCTTCACTTATTCTCTGGTCCTTTTTTTTTTTTTTTTAAATACTTTTCACCATCTAACTCATTTTGAGTTCAGCTTTGTAGAGGCATAAATCTTACCATAGAAACTTGTTTCACTTGTTTATATTCAATTTCATCCCGATATCCTGCTTGTTGAAATCTGTACAGATTTTCTATCTCTTCTGACCATTTTTTGGCACGACTTATTGATTTTGGTTTCACATCAGAACTAGCCATGGCTACAGAAGTCTTTTTACCAGTTATTTCTGAAAGATGTTAAAATAACATTAATCGATAACATGACAGTGGTAATTTTGTAAGTCCTTTTAAGAATAAACAATACCAACATTTTTAAAAATTAGAGAGTCGAGGATCCCATTAAATACATTAAATTTTAAGCATTCAATTCCAAGATTGGGAAGGATTCATGCTCTATTTTTGGAGATAAAATAAATCCTGAAAGATACATAGAGAACTGCTTACTTCTTCATCAAGTAAAATTGCATTCAGACTTATGGAGTCATGTCCTAAATACTGTATACTAAATCTGGCATTCCCAGCAATAGTTTACACCTCTCTGAAATCACACTCTTACTTTTAACTGCTCAATAGATTGCCAAAATGTCCCAACACCATGCCATTTGAGTATATTCAAAACTGCATCTCCCCGCCCATCAAGGGACGAATGGATAAAGAAGATGTGGTATATATACACAATGGAATACTACTCAGCCATGAGAAATGATGAAATCTGGCCATTTGTGACAACATGGATGGACCTTGAGGATATTATGCAAAGTGAAATAAGTCAGAGGGAGAAAGTCAAATACCAGATGATCTCACTTATAAATAGAAGATAAAAACAACAACACACAATCACATAGAGGCAGACATTAGATGGGTGGTTACCAGAGGGGGAAGGGGAGGGAGTAGGCAAAAGGAGTCTTTGGGTGGTGAACATGATGTAATCCACACAGGAATTGAAATATGATGATCTACACGTGAAATTTATATAATGTTATAAACCAATGTTATCACAATGAAAAAAAAAAAAACTGTATTCCCCCCCCCCCAAAAAAAAGGGATGTAAGATCAGTCTTCTCAATCTCTTCCCCTTCTTCTTCCTGGGAAACAACAGTTTCTTCTTTTTCCTTTTCTTGACCGCTTGGAGACATCCCAGTCACTGCAGTCCATTTACTCAGATCTCTGTGGCCCTGCTCTTGTGACAGCCCAATGTGGGAAGACAGACTAACACAGAGTCCATGAAAGCTGTTTGGCTGTCATGATACTAAGATCACTGATTTTAAAACAATGTAGAAGGTCACCAATAGTCTTTGAAATGCAAATATTCAACTCTAGTTTATGTAATTGTCTATTCACCAAACTTCTATAGCCATTTTATTAAAGACATAATCTTGTACTTGTTTTCTCAGCTGCAGCTTATTTTATTACCAAAATCTATCAGTCACTCAACTGAAATAAACTGCCTAGGATTTTCACCAGGATTCCTTGAAATCATTCTTCCATTAAAATATATTTCTATTGGCTGAAATACATTAAAGTCAGACCTTATAAAGCAGATCCTGTAAATGAATTCATATTTTTTGAATTTTTTCAATTACAATGACAAATACTCATTATGTTGAAAAGACAACAAATACATTAAAGCACACAAAAAAAGGCAAAATAATCACATCAATTAGAAATATCCCTCCTTAACATCAGGTGAATATCATCTCAGATATTTGATGTTAGAAGGATAAACTTAAAAAGTTTTATAAAAAGGAGTCTGACAATAAATGCTTTTACAAGTAATAGCTTTAGCTTTACTTGGATTTAACAGGTAGAAAAACAGGAAATAAAATTGACAGAATTGCTGAATTTCAGATAAATTTTCTTCAATATGAAAGCTGTAGCCTAAAAGTTCCCTCAATGGTTCATAAAAGAAGATAATGAATGGGGCCAGCCAGTGGCTTAACAGTTAAGTTTGTACACGCCGCTTCGGCAGCCTGGGGTCCATGGGTCTGGATCCAGGTTCAGACCTACACACCACTCATCAAGCCATGCTGTGGTGGTGTCCTACATACAAAATAGAGGAAGACTGGCACAGATGTTAGCTCAGGGATAATCTTCCTCAAGCAAAAAGAGGAAGATTGGCAACAGATGTTAGCTCAGGGCCAATCTTCCTCACCAAAAAAAAAAAAAAAAAAAAGATGATGAAGACTGTTACGAGGCTAAAAGTCATTTGTTTGAACTCCATGTATAAACCACACACGAGAACTGATGGACTCTTTTCTATGAAAAATAAAGTAATTGGTCTTATGCTTCCTCCTACCTCCTCTAGATTTTTGTTACATTACTTATTTAACATTCTAAAGGTTAGACATTTACATTCTATTCTGAAACCATAATTCTCAGTGGTTTGGACTTAGCTCCAGATTTAATTGAATTAAAATGAAGTTATTTGAGGCATACAGTTCACTCTGATGAAAGGAGCAACTACCCAAGGGGATATATCATTAGTATTTGCATTTTTTCCAACGTTCATACCAACGTGTATATTGACTAAACCAAAGAAAATTAAAGTATTGTTAATATTTGACTTTTTAAAAACTTGATCCTTATTTATTAATTTAGGTTTAGGCTCATGTTGTATTATAAGGCAATACACTGTGATGTTATTGCATGTGCTGTAGGTATTGTTATTGTATGAATTTGTTATTGTATTGTAAAATTTGGAATACCTGACAAAACAATAAGTAAGCCACATTTCAGTGAAATCGTTCAGTTCCATTCATTTTCATGGGAAGTCCGTTCCCATACAATATACTAGAATTGACCAAAAAGTGAGTTGGACATATGTGGTACAGCCTGATAATTCATTAACATATATAATTATATATAATATATATATTCCATAGAAAAAATGACACTAAGAAACATGAAAGGAAAAAAGTGCAAATTCACTATATTAAAAATACTTCCAAATTAGTCATGTTTTTATGAATTTAGTAAATTGATGAATTTCATGAATTTGGTGGCTGTATTACTTATGTTGCTTTTATAGATGAAGCACATTTAAAGTACATCTAAAAGTAGTGCTACAATTCTAATTTTTGTTTTACCCAAGCCTTCTGCTTTAGGCTTGGCTTTTTGATACATAATAAAATACTTTTATTTATTCATCTTCATTCAAAAAGTATTTTCCTGAATGTCATGCATGTAATCTTTTGTCACTTTCAAACAAAAACAATCTTGTCAACTATACATATGAAAATAATATAATTAATAGAAGAGCAGAAAATATGCTACATTCAGTTGAATTACTGGGGAAACCGCCATTTTCTTGGAAGAAATACACATCTTCTGGACGTATCAGGCATTTCAAAACTTTGTTTTCTCAAAACAGAAAAAGGGAACATGCATGCATTTTCACTGAAATAGGAACCCCAGTGGCTGCTCTAACTATGCCATACAGTGGCAGTGCAAATTTCTTTTTTCTTTTTGTCTCTTAACTAACTTTCTACTTATCAAAAACAGAATGAAACTAAAATTAGGAAAGATCAAATTTCATTGGCTCTGGGAAATTGAGTGGCAATATTAATTCTGCTAATAACATTCAGCACTTTGAAATTCAGTGGTTTCTTTACTGATAGTTATGGCAAAAATAGTTCACATAAAATACATTCGATCTCTATAATACTAAGCTGTTTCTGCAGAAACAGGAAATGGCAATGCCTGACTTTCTCACTGTGCAAAAATCGAATTTTATTAAACAGTATTAGGGTTTCTATGGGTATTTAAAAACCCACCAATATCAAATCCTTAACAATCTAAAGTTCTAATCTCATGGTAGCAGCCTTTGAGGTAGCCAGCTATCTCAAACTCCCTTCTATGCAGACTCTTTTCAGCTCCTTTTCGCTCTGAAAAGTGCTTTTCACTTTTAGACGTCTTAAAACCCCGACAGCTTTAGTATCCTTAATCTTCCATTCCTTTCCCCATTTTTTCTGTTCCTAGACACAGCAGGCTATGGCAGAGAAGCCCTTTAAGCATGTAACCTTGCTAAAGTCAATTAACATCCCGGGGCCTCAGTTTCCTGAACTGCAAAAACGTCTCATTAGGACGGTCGCTAGAGTCCTCACACTTCCCAAAGTTCTTGGGTGTTCAGTAGAAAAACAAAATTGGCTCCCAAAATACACCCTTGTGATGCATGGTCCAGGTGTGCGAACCTGCATCTGTGCAGCACAGACCACTCCTTTGGGGCGCCCACGGCTGACTGACGTGCCTACTCCGGCCCCTCAAACGTTTTTTCTGCCAGAAATCACCACTCGTGTCTGTGAGGTAAAATCTGCCTAGAGAAGGCCGAGATGGAGAAAGTATTCCAAAAACTGGGCATCAAGAGCCCGTCTGCGCGAGAACTCTGAAAGGAGACCCCAGAATCGCAGCCTCTAAAGTCGAAGGGGGCGCGGGGCGGCCCAGAAACTACTGGAGAATCAGACTCCGAAACTGAAGAGGGACCAAGAAAAGACCCTGCCTGGAAAGGATGGAGGAAACAGCACAGAAGCAGGCAGGACGACTCGCCGAGACGGCGAGCGAGCACCTGAGCGGAAGGGGCGGGGCCAGGACTTCCGGGGCGGGGCCGGGCGGGCGCTTCAGCGGCTCGGCTGCTCGTCCCGAGTCCGTCTTCCTGCGGTCCTCCTCGCTCAGCTGACCCGGAGAGGCCGGGGCGCCCCGCCCGGGAGCTGGCAGGAGAGCGCGGCGGTTCTCTGTTCTCCACTCGGGATCCGTCGGCTGGGCAGCGACAGGCCAACCGTCGCGGCTTCCGCGACCCTCGCGTCTCCTAGCAACGCGTGGCGGCGCCCCGCTCACTCAGACCCCGCCCCCTGCGAATGGGCTTTTCTGCGCACGCGCCAGGGTTGGGCAGGCTGTGGCGAGTACAGTATGGCGAGTCCAAGTTGATCCCTGGTTGGGAGGGATCCTTGAAAGGCTCATCCCTAAGCAGAGGTGGAGAGCGAAGTGCTTTATTTGCTGCTGCTTCAGTCGTAGACGGAATTCCCTAAAAAGGCAGATCAGAGAAGCGAGACCATTGGCGATTCTGGTCCCAGATAGTAACTACCTAACTGTCCCACGCTCCTCCTCATTTTATTGGGATTAAAGGAACCAATCCATAGGGTTGAGCATAGTGCCCGGACAGTTAGTAAATTTACAGTAAACGACTTCTACAGCTTAATTTTTTCTAACATTACTTCATTATTATATATAAAATATTGACGTGACAACTCTCAAATTCATTTCCTCAGTCCAGATCTCTCTCTCAACACTACCCAACATCCACTTGGTTGTCCCAAACGATTCCTTCCAAACGCCTTCACTGCCCTAACCTGCGCCTTCACAGCCTATCCCTTTCAGTTGATGGCCCCTAGAGTCCATTCTTTCTCTTACCTTCCAGATCCATCCATCAGCAAAACCTGTTGACTTTACTGCTTCCGCTCAAGTCCAGGCCACCATCATTTCCCCCCTCTGGGTATTGCAATAGCCCCCAACAGGTCGCTCATCTCCCATAGTCTGTTCTCAACACAACGATCAGTGACATCCGTTTATAACAGTCAGATTGTCCCTCCTCTGCTTAGAATCCTGCAACGGCTCTGCATCTTAGAGAGTAAAAACCAGTGTCTTTACAAGGCCAACAAAGCCCTACAAGATATGCCACAACCCCTCCTTCCTTGCCCTGTAGCCCCAGATCCCACTTCTGCAGCCACACTGGCCTCCTGGCCGTTTCTTGACTAGCTCCCACATTGAGACCTTATTTGTAGCTGCTCCCTCTGCCGGGAATGGTCTTCCTCCAGTTTTCCCTTTGGCTAACTTCCTCATCTTCACTTCTTTGTTAATATCTCAGCTCACTCATCCCTATCCCTCTGTGTTGCTCTTCCATCGTGGAGTCTATCCGCCTAACTGTGTTCTAGTGTTTCTTTTTCCAATAGCACATATTGCCTTCCAATGTACTATTTAAATAGCTTATTTCTTAATTTTGCTTGTCTTCTGCAGGAATGTAATTCCCATGAAGATAGATCTTAACTAAATTCCTAGAAAAGTGCCTACTATTCAACAGCAGGTTGCACCAACAGTGTTAACAGAATAGCAGTATATATCAAATAAATGTGGTTTGCCACCATCACAGCCAATGCCAGTATGATGCTGTGGAAGTAGTATAGCACAGTGGCTAGGAGCATGGCGTCTAAGGCATGACCTTGGATTTGAATCTGGGTTCTATTACTTCCTAGCAACATGATCTTGTACACATTACTTAATCACAGTTTCCTTAATTGTAAAATGAAGACAAAAACTGTACCTATCCGATAGAGTTGTTGTGCGGATGAAATGATAAAAATGAGCCACTTAGCACAGTATCTGGAACTACGTAAATGATAGATAGTATTATTTCCACTAGAACGTGCACTCCATTACCACATGGGTTTTTCTTTGCCTTGCTCACTGCTGTATCTTTAGTGTCTAGAATGGTGTCTGGTACATAGCAGATGGTCAGGGACAGTTTGTTGAGTGAATAAGTGAATTCTCACCATCACATTTCCTGGAGTATTGTGGCAGCTTTCTACCCAGACTCCTTGCCCCAGACTGCTAGAGTGTTCTTTTTAAATTTGAACCCAGTGGTTCTGAGAGTTTAGGATCTATGTGAATGCCCTGGAGGGTGTGCTAAGACAGACTGCTGCGCCCCACATCCAGAACTTCTGATTCAGGAGCTCTGGCCTGGGGTAGAGAATTTTCGTTTCTAACAGGAGCCCAGATACTGTGGGTGATGCTCTTCCAGGGTCCCCACGTTGCGGAATACTGTTTGCAAAGAGTTCCTGGACCCAAATCCAACACGGGAGGAAGGAGAGCCATTCCGGGATTGTGAGCAGAGGAGTGACATAATCTGATGTCTTTTAAACCGATCACACTTAAAATTGTTAACCCTTAGTGGTAAGGACAGTACCTTGTTTTTATTTTAAAAACTTAAGAAAATGCCTGTTGTATATTTTACACTGCTTTTTGTTATGGGTTGAATTGTGTCCTCCCCAGCGCGACACAGTGTTGTGTCAGGGTTTCCTGCAGGAGCCACCCTCTTCGCGCTAGCTACACCCTTGATCCCACGCGGCTGCCTCAGCCCTGAGCACAACGGCGGCCCCACGCCAGCGCAGCTCGCAAGTTTAAACCCCTAGGTCGCGGGTGGCGGGAACTAACCAGATGCTCCTTAGCACCGCCCCCTGGCTGCAGGGCTCCTCTGATTGGACGCGGCTGCATCCGGGCGGCCAATGGTGCGGCGGCGGCTTGTTCCCGGAAGTGGCGGCTAGGTCAGGGCCACCCCGGCTTCCGAGGCTGGCTTGGGGTCCAGTCACCCGGGGTTGGCCGGCGCTATGAGTTCCTTCGAGGGACAGATGGCCGAGTATCCCACCATCTCCATCGATCGCTTCGACAGGGAGAACCTGAGGGCCCGTGCCTACTTCCTGTCGCACTGCCACAAGGGTGAGTGAGCTGCGCGCCGCCCTCCCCGGGGCCGGGGGCTGCGGGTCCTGGCCACGCGCGGTGGTCGCCCAGGGGACCTGAGCGAGGGTGCGGGCTTCGGAGGCCGGGGCAGAGACCAGCCACTGCGCCTTGTCCCGGCCTGGCTCTCCAGCCTCTCTGAGGCGTTACAGATTTCTTGATCTGTACGGGGACATAGCAACTGCCAGTTGCGCACCGACCCACGCGGATTTGATCAGGTGCAACTATTCCGTTCTTTTGGAAGCTCTTCCTATTGGAAGCGGCCAATAGTCAGAGGTTGACGAGGATTACTTAATCTTCTTCCACATCCTCGCTACCGTGTTGTAAAGAAATTTCAGAGGAAATTCTGCCGTGCTCCCAAACATTTATCTGCAATCGCGCGCGCACACACACACTCACTCACTCAAATCAAACATCCCATCTGTAAGCTCGACGAAGTGCAAGCCCTCCCTCCTTTTAGATGTTCTGTCCACTTGCAAAATGAAAGGTTCGTTTTAGTCTGGAGGCAGGATGTGGCTTACCTTATAACAGCCAGGTCAGGCAACCAGAATCCTAAAATTTCACAGCTGAACACGGTTAGGGATTAAGCCTGAAGTGTCCCCCCGAATGATAGGGTCTGCAGGCTTGATGCTCCCGGCTGAGGCTGGAGTGTCTCTCAAACGTTTCAGCCAGTCTCCAGTGCTGGAGTACCACTAATTTCACAGCCATTGTCCATTTTTAACATCTCTTATGCTAAGTCGTCACTAACTTTAGCAATGAAAACTTCAAATATCATTATGCTAATCAACACAGCCTAATTGGCATTGATCAGAGATGAAGCTCTCTAGTAGCTGCCTCTTGGAGTGCAGGCTTCCAGAAAAACTTGAGTACGATGTTCCCCACTACTCTTTTGGGGAGTGAATCAGAGTGTAACAAACATACCACATACCCATCACATGTTCTAATTTTAAAGTAAATTACAGATATCAAAACCCTGCCCTTCCTCCCAGGGCTGCTGTGAAGACCAGTGTTGCCTTGTGTTTGGAATCAATCGCTTTAACCTAGTGTAAGTTGTTGAAGTTTCTGCTTTTGGGAAATGCCTCTCCTTTCTTGCTCAAAGCTGCCAGTTCTCTCTCTAGTGAGGAGAATCTGGACCTTCCCTCTCTGTTTGTTAAATAGCCCAGGGAGCCTCTTGGAGGGTTTTCCTGCCTATTCTGGAGAATAACCTTTTTGTCTTTGTTTTGGTTTTCGTTATGAATCTGCTGCTGGAGGAGCATTCACCTGTTTTGACTTTCTGTGTTGAGTCTCACTCGAGTTTCCGAACTCAAAACGTGATAGCCACGGTTAAAGAGTGGCTGAAGGCTTGCCCTTCGTGTCTAGGAGTAGTGAGTGTGGAGGAAGGATTCATCTAAAGGAATTTGTGGAATCTTCATCATTAATTCATACATTAAGCAACAGATGACTTCCTACTACCAAGCAGATGATAATAACTTGTTTTCTAATCACATGTGGGTCCGTTTACTCAGCCTGGACATAAATTCATCAAGGGCGAGAACCGAACTTCTGCTTTCGGTGGTTTCTCACATTGCCATCTGGTGGTTTTTAGCCTTTCTGAGAAACAGACTCAGTGCTATGAACTGAATCGTGTCCTCCCATATCTTGAAATTCTAACCCCCAATGTGGCTGTATTTGGAGATAAGGCTTTTAGGAGGTAATAAAGGGTAAATGAGGTCATGAGGGTGGGTCCTAATTCGATAGGATTGGTGGCCTTATAAAAAGAGGAAGGGAGATCTCTCTCTCTCCACACACACACCTAGGAAAGGCCATGTGAGTGCATGGTAATAAGGTGGCTGTCTACAAGCCAGGAAGAAGGTCTTTCCGGAAACTGACCCTGGCACCTTGATCTTGAACTTTAGCCTGAATAACTGTGAGAAATAAACTTGTTGTTTAAGCCACTGAGTCTAAGGCATTTTGTTATACCTGAGCTGACTAAAACAGAATATCTGACATAATCCATGGTCTCTTTTGCTAGAAAAAGTTCACATAAACAAAGGCTTGTCAATTTTGTTTATCTTTTCAAAGAACCAGCTCTTAATTTCACCCATCTTCTCTATTGTCTTTTTAGTCTATATTTCAGTTATTTTTGCTTTAATCTTTGTTATTTCCTTCCTTCTACTAATCTAGGGCTTCATTAGTTCTTTTTCTAGTGCCTTGGGGTATAAAGTTAGGTTGTTGGAGACTTTTTGTTTCTCAAAGTAGGCATTTATTGCTATGACCTTCCATCTTAGAACTGCCTTTGTTGCATCCTACAAATTTTGGTATGTTATATTTCCATTTTTGTTTGTCTCAATGTATTTTTTTAATTTCTCTTTTGATTTCTTCTTTGACCCATTGGTTGTTCAGTAGATGTTGTTTAATCTCCACATATTTGTGAATTTTCCAGTTTTCTTTGTGTAATTAATTTCTAGTTTCATACCATTGTGGTTGGAAAAGATGCTTGATATGATTTCAGTCCTCTTAAATTTATTAAGACTTGTTTTGTGGCCTAGAGTACGGTCTATACTGGAAAATGTTCCCTGTGCACTTGAGAAGAATGTGTATTCTGTTGCTTTTGGATGGAATGTTCTGTATATGTCTGTTAAGCACATCCGGTCTAACATGTCATTTAAGGGCAATGTTTCCTTATTGATTTTTCTGCTTGTATGATCTTTCTATTGATGTAAGTAGGGTATTAAATCCCCCTACTATTATTGTATTACTGTCTGTTTCTCCCTTTACATCTGTTAATATTTGCTTTATATATTTAGGTGTTCCTCTGTTGGGTGCATAAATATTGACAAACGTTATATCCTTTTGTTGGTTTGATCCCTTTATCATTAGGTAATACTCATCTTTGTTTCTTATTACAGTCTTTGTTTTAAATTCTGTTTTCTCTGATATAAATATAGCTATTTCAGTTTTCTTCTGGTTTCCAAACTTAGAACTGGTTTGACTTAACCAAAGAATTTAGACCTGTTTGGTTATTTAAGTCTTTGCATGCTAAAGATTCAGAATATATTAGAATGCACTATGTATTTACTGTACTATTTTTTTTTTTTTGAAGAAAGTTAGCCATAAGCTAACTACTGCCAATCCTCCTCTTTTTGCTGAGGAAGACTGGCCCTGAGCTAACACCCATGCCCATCTTCCTCTACTTTATATGTGGGACGTCTACCACAGCATAGCTTTTGCCAAGCGGTGCCATGTCCACACCTGGGATCTGAACCAGTGAACCCCAGGCTGTCGAGAAGCGGAACGTGCGAACTTAACCGCTGTGCCACCAGGCCAGCCCCTTTAATGTACTATTTTGTTTAAATTTTACCTTTCCTTCATTGTTGTCTTTGTGTGTCTGTTTATTTGGAGGGCTGTAGAGCAAGTCTCTGTAGGTAGTAATAACCCATCTTTCAATCTAGGCATCACAGTAGGCTGAGAAGATAATGAAACTCTTCTTATTCTGGCCTAATCCCGAATGATTTCCGAGAGCATTCCATGGAAGTGAACTTGAATTTTCAGAGAGATTGTTTTAAGAATGGAATTGAATGGGTTGTAAGAGTATGGCCTGAAGGTGGTTAGAGGGAAATGAAAGATGAGAGTGAAGGAAGGTGCTGGAAGCAGTTCCAAATGAGACCCTGGTCACTCATTCTTCTGTGGCTTCTCAGAGTGACTTAGACTCTGTCCCAAGATGTAGGGGATCATTCGCCTTTACTTGGCTTCTGGTGGCTGAGAGATGCTCACCCTTTAGTGGTACCTGTCCTGTTTTCAGATGCACTCTTCACTTGCATTGGAGAGTCCATAGCACATATGAATCATTTCTCTTATCAAAGTGAACCTCGCATACATTTTCTCTTGAAAAAAGAGGCTTAAAAAGAACAAACAACTCAGTTTCCTTGGGCCAAGGAATCTTCTGAAAAAATAATGTGTTTATGATTTTTGATTGTTTTATTTTTAGATCACATGAAAGGATTAAGAGCCCCTACTTTGAAAAGACGGTTGGAGTGCAGGTAATTTGTTTTGCTGCTTATTTGTGTTTTCTTAAGTAAACATTTTAATTGAGCTATAATGTCTATGCAGAAAAGTACATACATCATAAGGGAACAATCTGATGACCTTTTACAAGTGAACACATCTGTGAAGCCTCTGCCCGGATCAAGAAATAGAAGAGTGCCAATATCCCAGAACAGAACCCTGACCCTCCCCCAAGGGTACCCTCCATTCTGACTTTTGTCATCATGGTTTAGCTCTGGCTGTTTTTGAACTTTATATAAATAGAGTCATACCAAATAGACTCTTCTATTTGTTTTATTTCACTTAACATTATATATGAATGGTTCATCCATGCAATTGGGTGCAGCAATAGCTTGTTTATTTTCATTTCTGTAAGTGTGTTTGTGAAAATGGTTGTTCCATTATAAAGAGTCATATAATGTTGTTTATCTTTTCTTGAAGCTGAACAATTGCATTCTTTTCCTGCAGCCATTGCCTAAATCCAAATTCCAAATTCTCAGGATATATATTTGGAAAGGACCTTATTGACTTTTTGACTTTTGAATTGATCTATGTCTGGCTTCTCTCCTAAGTGATATCAATAGTCTGTATTCCTTTTTTTTTTTTTAGTAGGATTAGCCCTGAGCTAACATCTGCTTCCAATCCTCTTTTTGCTGAGGAAGACTGGCCCTGAGCTAACATCCATGCCCATCTTCCTCTACTTGATATGTGGGACACCTGCCACAGCATGGCTTGCCAAGTGGTGCCATGTCCGCACCCGGGATCTGAACCGGCAAACCCCGGGCCGCTGAAGTGGAACGTGCGAACTTAACCGCTGTACCACTGGCCGGCCCCAATAGTCTGTATTCTTGATAATGATAGCTAATATTTATTAAGTATATACATGTATATGCCAGGCACTACATATTTATTAGTTCAACAGTTTCTTTGAGTGCCTATGATGAGTCAAACACCGTCCTGATGTTGAAGATAGAGTAGTGAGCAACACAGATGAAAACCCTCTCTTCTTGGAGCTGATGTTCTCTTTAGAGCCTCTTGATAATCTTTTGAATAGATACTATTATTATTTCTATTTTACAGATGAGGAAACTGAGGAACCAGAGAGGTTAAATTAGTTGCCCAAGGTCACGCAGCCAGTAAGTGGCAGGACCAGGATTTCAACCAGGTCTGTCTGATTTTAGAACCTGTGGATTAGTTATCTATATTGCTGCGTAACAAGTTACCCCAAAACTTAGTGACTTAAAACAACTAATCATGTGTTCTCTTTCTCAGTTTCTGTGGGTCAGGAATTCTGAGGGGGCACAATGGGGACGTCTGGTCTCTGCCCGAATGAATGTCATATGGGGGCTGACATTATCTGAAGGCTCACTCATTCAATGACTGACTCCTGAGTTGAGAAGACTCAAGTAGCTGGGGTTCCTTGGGCCTCTCCGTCTCTAAAAATGTCTCTTCAGCGTGGTGTTTTCAGGCTAGCTGGACTTTTTAAATGGAGACCCAGGGCTTAAAAAGTATACATCCTAAGAGAGAGTTAGCAGGTGGCCATATTGCCCAGAGACCTAGCCTTGAAAGGCCTGCAACGTTACTTCTATCACATTCTGCTGGTTAAGGTAACGAAGATCTGCCCGGGTCCAAGGGGAGGTTCAGACTCTTCCTGTCGATAAAGGAATCTCTGTGTCCATTCTGTAAGAAGAGTGTGTATAGATGGGATATATTTTAGTATGGCTATCTTTGGAAAATACGGGCAGCCATAGACTGTGTTCCTAACTGCTAAGCTATACTGTTGAATTTTTAAAGTTTATTATGAAGTTGATTTTTGCACACTAAAAACCAGAATAGATTTATATGAAATAAAACGTAGAAGTCTTCTGTCTCCCGCACCTCCTTTCATTCTCCAGAGGTAGCTTAATGTTTGGTCTTGTTTTTCCAGACATACCTGATCCTGTACCAACACGCATCTTTCATGTAAGAATGGTGAGGGATACCCTCCTTAGGAGGTCAGAGGACACAATGTTTTCTCTCACCTTTCCCATCATCCTTTACTCTCTCAATGGGACTGAGACAGTCATTGGGGTGGCATGTTGGGAACGACTGTAACCCTTTTTGTGCCAGCCCAGTTTCTGAATAGCTTGGGATAACTGATATGTGATGAAACGTATTTCCTGGCCCCCCAGATGGCATGTTGGATTGCACTGAAACCGCTTTGTTTTCTGTCTTTTCCTTTCAGCTTGAAGGTTTACTTATACTGTTCACCGGTTACTAAAGAGTTGTTGTTAACCAGCCCGAAGTACAGATTTTGGGAGAAACGGATTGTAAGTTTTATCTTTTGAATGACACTAATTCTGTTTTTCAAGTAGGAAATATTTTTTGAGGTGGATTGAACAAAGTATTAGAGTTAGTCAAAGCCTGGTTCCAAACACACTGTATTTATCCACATTAATTACAATGTTGATATTCAGTCTTTTGTAACTCAACCGTTTAGAAGAGGTTGACATCTTATTGTTGTTGACGTTGTTGTTGATTTTTCTTTCCGGTCCCTCAGCTGTTTGATCTAGCTTCTCAGTTTTGTGTTATCTCATTGAGTTTGTTGCTAAGTTGCATTTTAATACTTTAAAGTGTAAAAGATTCATTAGCATAATTGGTGAATCCTTTTACTTAGGTCATGGGATAGGTTAGGAAAAGTAAACATCTGGGTTATAACAAGAACGGGATAACCAGAATAAAGACAGGATGTATAACTTTGCTTTCCGGCAGAATAAAATGGATCTATGCAACAGAAGGTAGATTGTAAGGGGAGAAAAGCAAGCATGGTATGTAGAAAATGCAAAGATGGCAGAAAAAGTTCTACGATAACAGTAATTACTATAAATACGAATGGAGTTAATTCAACTCTTGATCAAAAGACAAATTCGCAATTTAGGTTAAAAAAATAAGAAAGATCCACAAGTCGTAGTCCACAGGAAACAAGTAAAACAAAAGGATAAATGCAGGTTGAAATGGAAAGAAAAACAGGAGGAGATATACTGGACAATTAGAAGCTAAAAAGACCAGAGTGGCAATTTTTATATCCTACAAAATAGAATTGAAGGCAAAAAAAAATTCCCAAGTTTCAAAGAGGATGTTATTTATTGTTAAAAGGAACAATGGATCAAGAAGATACAAACAAATATGGAATTAACAAAATAGCCTCAAGCTGGATAAAGTAGTAAGTGATCACCCAGTGCTTGTTGAGGGAAAGAACCACAATCAAATTAGGGTTTGTTATATGGATTAAACCTTAGGTGATTGTGGGAGCTGGTGGAGAAGTCTGAACAGGTGTTATCGAGTCTGCTTGTTTGATGTTTGACTGCTAACAGCTTTCGACTCCCACCTCCTTCTTCCCGTTGCCCCACTTGTGGGCAAGCTGACACTCCTCCCTTGTCACCGACTGTGAAGTTCGAACCACACAAGCCCCAGGCCACTCCATAACCACAATAAAAACTAGGGCCACTCCCTCCTACTCTCTCTCAGGTTGTAAGAGTCACTTGCCCTCAGCCTGGTACTGCCCTCTCTCCCTAGAAAGTCCCGTGATGTGAGTAATGCCGTGTTTTCATACCCTCTTGATGCGTTCATGGCATCTTCAGTCTCGACCTCCACCTTATCAGTTGGAGTGGGGTCCATTTCTCTTCCGCAGAGGGCCACAACAGCAAGGCTGTAACCTGGGCCTTGGTATTAGGCCTGAAGTTGCCGTGGGTCAGCCTGGCCAGCAGTCGGAAAGGAAAGCTGAGAAAGAGATGGAGAAGAGCAGAGACAGGCTGGAATCTACAAGGACAAACTGGAACCCGTGTCTGTTTCTCAATCTTCCCAGCCTTGGTAATGCTGCCACCCGTTTTGCCACTGAGTCACACAGCCGGCCCAGGACTCCGAGAAGGTGAAGGAGGACGTGCAGCAGAAGATGCAGTTGCTGCAGTCCTGCCCCTGCCCCGTGTCGCTGAGTTAAGCCAGCAGATCAACAATGTACACGAGCCGTTAGAATTTCTGGTGCCCTTCGGAGCATTAAAAAGTGGCTCCTGGTTCACGTCTGCCTTCCAAATGTTACTCTGATGTTTCTTGTGGCCAACCCTAACCTGGAAGGATACATGGAGAGGACTTCCAGGATCGTCCCAGCTCAGCTCAGTTGTTGTAGTAAGAGCCCTTCTCACAATCTAAGGGGGAAAAAGGCAACTCAACAGCTGTAGCTGGAGAGCTTACCACACCACTCCCAGGAACTGGAAGATGAAGGAGGTAGGAAATAAGTGGAGATGAAGATTTGAATGACATAATTGATAAATGTGCGCTAAGAGAAATACAGAGCTTTAAACCCAACAGAGAAAACTAGATCTTAGGTTGAATGTGGAACATTTACAAAAATTGACTGTGTACTATGTCACAAAAGAAGTTTTAAGAAATTCTTGTGATCCGTTTTCTGACCTTAATGCAATGATGTTGGAAATCAGAAATAAAAGGAGAGCTAAAGTCATCCTTTGCATATGGGAACTGAATGCATACAAGAAACAACACTTAGGTTAAAGAGGAAGTTATCAAGAAAAACATACAGTACTTAGAACTGATGGGCAGTGAAAACATGACATGTCAAAATGTGTGGCATACAGCTGAAGTAGTACTTGAAGGGAAATTGATAGCATTAAATACACTTCTTAGAAAACGAAGACTAGAATTAAATGGAATAGATTTTCAACTCAATGAGAAGGAAAAGGAGATCTAAGCATATGTGAAAGAAGGAGACAATGAAGATAAAAGAACCAATTCGTGATATAAGGACTCACACCTGCCACGGAAAATGAAAGGGAGGCGTAACAAAACTAAAACAGGACTTTAGAGGAATAGAGAGACATTTCTGCCAAGATCAATTAAAAAAAAGGAGATGCACATAAAAATACAGAATGACAAAAAGGAAAATAACTGTTAATAACAGCAGTACATTTTGAAAAAAAATTAATATGGTAGTTCTGGAAAAGTAGGAAAATACCAAATTGAGCAAGAAAAGAGGAAAACTTGAATAAATCAGTAACCATCAAAGAAATTAAGACAATTTTCAAAGATCCCTTCTTCAATAAAGCCCCAGGCCCAGATGGTTTTATATGTGCATTTTGCCCGATATTCAAAGAACAAATAATCACTGTGCTGGATGAGCTCTTGTAGGATATAAGAAAAAGATAAGCTGCTCAACCCTCCTGGCAAAATAGATAATGATAGCACGCGGGGAAAAAAGGCCATTTCATATGTGAACACGTGTGAACATCTTAATGTAAGAGCTAACTGAATCTAACAGTATTAAAAAATAATGCATCATGAATACAATCTCTTTATTCCAAAGATGCAAGGATGGTTCCACACCTGAACTTCAGTCCCTGTAAGTTTTATGACATCAGTGGACTAAAAAGATGAAAAATTATTTTCCTTCTTTGGTCAGCTACTTATCGAATGGCTGTCTGTGCTAGCTGCTGTCCTAGTGAAGCGTGCGAGCCCACCGTGGAGCCCTCTGCCGCAGCTCGAATCTGTGAATTAAGCCAACATGTCGCGGACTCATCCAGACTGTGTCCTGCAACAGAAAACCTAAACACGTGGAGCACAGGACTGCATGTTACACAAAGAGTCAAGTTCAAAGGGAGATGGGGAGGCGCAGGGAGGAAAACTGAGTTCATAGCAGTCGAGTTGCCGTGTCCAAGAATATACAAGGTTCTAAGGCCTTTAATTCATATTGCCACGTCAGCCTCAAGAAAGGTGTTATTTTAGCTTTATTGTGTTATTTTAGCTTTATCGTGTTTTCAAGCAGTTAAACAGTTTCTTATAGTGAAATTGGAAATTGTTACCCAGAAGTCTGAACCGTCTTCTCTTAGTCCGCTTTCTGTGTTTGAGCTGCGAAGGCATGTAAAGCCGTGACAGACTGAAAGTATATAATGCGATGTATACATGATCTCTTATTTTATTTTACTAGATATCAATTGAAATCGAAACTCCTACCCAGATACCTTTAGTCGATGAAGCATCAGGCGAGGTAACTAAATATTAACCAGCGTGTTTTTTAAATTATCATTTAGTGCTAAAATGATTGTTTGTCTCCTTGACTTTGAATGCTACTTAATCATAAATAAAAATTATAGTAATTGAGTGAGTTTGTAGGGGGAAAAAACCACTTGTGACCTGTTTATTTTCTATGTCTGAAGGATCGGGTATGACTTCTGTCAGAATTGCTCCTCTTTAATATCACGTGCCAATGATGCAACTCCAAATCTTGATATTATTACCACGCGATGTTGTTGTCACATTTATTAAGTTTATTATCATGTTCAGGGTATAAAACGGTGCTTGATAATTTTGCAGCAAATTTATGCATATGGTGATTCTTTTTCTGAATTATTTTTATTTTCAAGAAAAAGATAACTGTCCACATGGATCCAATTTATTTTTTGTCCTTAAATTTAGAAGCAGGTACTTTTGTGTTGTGAATGTATTGTTTTCATAGAAAGTGGGATTATGGACACACCCATTACTTATTTTTTTAACCTCAAATTGTACCTAGGGCTAGGAGGTATTTTCCTATTTTATGGCAAACCTAGTTAATATTTGTTCCATAGCCCGATCGTCACCTGCTTTGTTGACATGTTTAGCTCTGAAGGATGTCCTGTGTTGTGTAACTGATCAGACAGGTGACTTTTCCCATTTCCTCTTTGGGGAAGATCAGGCATTTGAAGTACCCTTCAACAAATTATTGTCCAAGGGGACGCTGCCGAGCCAGGTTAGGATGGGTTAAAAGGTGGGAAAAAAAGGATGACCTGCTCCTTCCTAAGTGCCATCCTGCACTCAGCTAACACTTTTTGGCATCTGCTCTAATTGCCTCGCTGCCTGGTCACCTATGTTGGTGAAAGGCATTCTCAAAATTGGGCAACAGGCAGCTGTCCTTGGGCACAATCTTGCTGTCCCCCTCTCATCTTTTATGTTTTAACGTGTGCACTGTGACTTTTGTGCTGTGTGCCCAGCTTCAGCCATTGGGAGACCCCCCCCCCCCCAATTTTAAGGGGCCTTTGAAGGAGTTCCCATTATTGAGTATTGAGCTGGTGTATCTGGAGGTCTGCCCCATAATTCCTCCAGGCTGTGCCCTCAGAGGACAGTCTGATGTGCAGTATGGTGACTTGAGCGCAGGCTACATAAGGCTTTTTTTTTTAAATAACAACTTTATTGAGATATAATTCACATACCATACAATTTACTCCATTTAAAGTATGCAATTCAATGGCTTTTAGTATATTCACAGAGTTGTGTGTCCATCACCACAATCAATTTTAGACCATTTTCATCACCCAAAAAGAAAGCCTGTACCCATTAAGCAGTCACTCTCTATTCCTCCCCCCACCAGCTCCTGGCAACCGCTGTTCTCGAAGTCTCTATGGATTTGCCTGTTCTGGACATTTCATATAAATAGAATTGTACAACATGTGGTCTTTTGTGACTGATTCTTTTCACTTAGCATAATGCTTTCAAGGTTTATCCACGTTGTAGCATCTATCAATATTTCATTTCTTTTTATGGCCAAATAATATTCCATTGTACGGATATACTACATTGTGTTTATCCATTCATCAGTTGATAGGTATTTGGGCTGTTTCTTCTCTGGCTAGTGTGAGTAACACTGCCGTGAACATTCGTGTCTAAGTTTTTGTGTGGACGTAAGAGTGGAATTACTGGTCTTATTGTAACTCCATGTTTAACCGTTTGTTTTATGGGCAAGGATTCCAGTTGTTTCTGGGATTTGGAGCATGAGGAAATGAGGAGAAAAGGCATCCCACATTCTTGAGAAGTACTACATATGTTTTATTAAGGAGGGCTTGATTTAGCTGGGTCCTAATGATTATTTCTATTTTATTGTTTTTTCTTTATTTTCTTTTTAGAAGGAAGAGATTGTTGTCACTCTCTTACCAGCTGGTCATTGCCCAGGATCAGTTATGTAAGGGGGCTCATCTCTTTTGCCATTTTATTATATGTAGCTATGTATTATAATTGTAGAAATACATTTTTAGGGTCTAGAAAATAATACATATAGGGGGATTTGATTATTTTTTACTGCAGTTTCTTTAATCTTTGTTTCCACATTGAACTTGGGAGATTGAGGTGAAGGTCAATTTGAAAGGTGGCTTTTGGGGCCGGCCCAGTGGTGCAGCAGTTAAGTGCGCACGTTCCGCTTCTCGGCGGCCCAGGGTTCGCCGGTTCCGATCCTGGGTGCCGACACGGCACCGCTTGGCAAAAGCCATGCTGTGGTAGGTGTCCCACGTATAAAGTAGAGGAAGATGGGTATGGATGTTAGCTCTAGGCCAGTCTTCCTCAGCAAAAAGGAGGAGGATTGGCAGTAGTTAGCTCTGGGCTAATCTTCCTCCAAAAAAAAAAAAAAAAAGGTGGCTTTCTTAGAATGGAAGTCTTCCATAGCTATTCTCCATTGGCTTTGCATTTTTCTATGATGTGGATTTCTCTCTCCACGAGCAGGAGTAATCTCAGTGTATGGTGGAGAGCGCTAACATATTTCAGGGGACATCTCTTGCAAGTCAGTAGTATCTCCATTGTGTTATTTTTTCCTACCCCAGGGGAGAGGTGGCAGCTGAGTAGCTGGTGTGGTTTAGAGCTCCTGAAATTCCGTGAACTCTCTGTCAGAGTGGCTATGTTGGGCAGGAAACACTTGCTATGGATTTAGTATATATTTGCTTTGTTAGGTTTTGTATGAGACTTAGAAGTCACTGAGATCTATTTCCTTTTCAGGTTTTTATTTCAGGGCAATAATGGAACCGTCTTGTACACAGGAGACTTCAGATTGGCAAAAGGAGAAGCTGCCAGAATGGAGCTTCTGCACTCTGGGGGCAGGTACCCGGCTTTATATAATTCTCAAATTGAGAATGCATCATTTTAAAAGTTTTATTGCTCCCCTCAATACAAAGCTTTGTTTCCATTAGAAATCAAACTTGATTGTAATGTTTGTAACGGTAAAGCAAACTTTTCTTCTTGAAACGGGTGATGGTAACATTCTGGAGGCTGATTGCTCAAAATTCACTGAACTGTATGTGCAAAACCTGTGTATTTTATTGTATGGAAAGCATTTCCCAACAAAGTCAATGTAACAAAAAAAATTCCAAATGGAGTGGAACAGCCTGTGAAATAACGGTTTAAACGTTATGCATATTTTATTTCACATTCGATGATTAGCACTAATTGTTTTTTGTTTTGTTTTGTTTTTCAGAGTGAAGGACATCCAAAGTGTGTACTTAGATACGACTTTCTGCGATCCGAAATTTTATCAAATTCCTAGTCGGGTACGCCTCCCTGGAGAAAGGGGGTGATCATATGGGCATGGCCATATTTCTAGTCGGAAGTTTATAGGAGAACAGATCAGATCCTAATTGTCCCATTGGCATTAGTATCTGTGAATGTTGGGAATGGAAAGGACAAGTGATGTTCTTAAAAGTGTTAAATACCTTTTCAAAATCCCGCCCAGGAGGAGTGTCTGAGCGGAATAGTGGAGCTCGTCCGCAGCTGGATCACCCGGAGCCCGTACCATGTCGTGTGGCTGAACTGCAAAGCCGCTTACGGGTATGAGTATCTATTCACCAACCTTAGTGAAGAATTTGGAGTCCAGGTACGGTGACGGCTCTTTCCTTCCACCCTCCCAACTTCTCCTTTCCTCACCTTCCCCACCCCCCAAAACCGAAAGCAGTAACAGACGGAGGCCCCCTATCCAAACACGTGTGTAGCACAGGTTGGTGGCCCCTCTGAGGTCATGGCATCTTTGTTTATTCACTTCCTCGTGGGAGAAATGGACGGTGGCCCAAATGGCTTGAGGAGAGCCCTTGGGTGAAATGTCCCATAGAGGAAGGATTTTTTCAAAACTGTGGGTTGTGAAATGTATTTAGTGATTGTGACCAGCATTGAAAATAAATTTAAGCTAGAAAATATCTGAGCGTGTTGCTTGCAGTCAGAATGATTACGTTATATGAAAATTTCTGTTGGGACTCAAGCACACATGTATACATATGTGTATGTATATGGGTACTGACTTGCTGTGGAAAATTTATTTCTTACTGTGGGTCATGGTCAAAAGTGTGAGGCACTGAGCCTCCACAATGGGTCCATATCAGATCGTGCTGGGAGGGAGTTTTCACCTGCCCTTCCAGCTGGTTCAGTGCTGGCCCCTCAGGACCCTGAGCGGCACAGCCCAGAGTGCGCGTGAGTAGCTGACACGGAGCGTGTGGCTTCTGCTCCTTTCCCCTAAGAGAAGATGGATTTTTGGTAACAACTCTGAACAAAATGAAGTGCTGGAACTAATTTGACATTTAAGTTCGACTTCGTTTTGTATCTTTTCATATAGATCTCCCTGCTAACAAACTGGAGCCAAGAATTTAATTCTATACAATGTAGTTTAGTAAAATAAAAAATATCTAGTTTTTCAGCGTTAGGAATTTAGAAAATTTCTCCCACCCTCCCTCCTGAAGTCTTTACTTCCTAAGTCCTCCTTTCCTTAATTTCTTCCTGCCTTAAGTCCTTCTCTCCAAATTTATTGGTGTAAAGTTGCCGATTCTCCATTTTGAAAAGGATTCACTTTCATTCTGAGATTGTCTTTCCTACGTTTTTTGGTGTAAAATGGCCTTTTAAATTAAATCATAGTGCTAACAGGCTGTGTATGCACACGGACACACACTTTTCTATACTTTCCACTATTTTTTTTTTCTTCTCTTGGAAAAAGACAAAGGTAGCAACCACTTATCAGTCCCAAATTTGTCTTGTAAATTTTAATGGCGTGTGAAATTGAAAAGACCGGAAGCTCCTGGCCTGGAGGCCGTGCAGGAGGACACCAGGGCCGGGAGGGTTTCGGGGATGGCGGGAGAGCAGGTCTCCCACTCACCCTGGAGCGAGCCCTGTCTTCACTCTCTTAATCCCTTTGTAAGGGAGACGAGTAATTTTAGATCAGGAATTTAAAACAGGAGAGCCGTGAGATTTTTGACTAAAGGACCTCAGAGATGATCTCTGGCAACTTTTTCAGGCTTTCTTATTTTTGTGAGGAGGAAAGTTTCTATATCTCTCTATCCATCTCAGAATTTACCCCTTTTTATCTCCTTCTTAGGTCAGAAAAGCAAATTCATTGTTGCTTCTTGTCAGTCGTTAGTAAATGGGTTGTGAGCGGAACAGGTCGCAGGATACGTAAACTATTACAATCGGATTCTTTTTAACACCTGTCTTGGTGTTAATTACCACCGCAATTTGACATTATTTTAATCCGTTTTGTGATTCAGACTTCAAAATGAGAATACTTCTGTTTTGTGCCATTTCATAATCCTAACATCAATTTAGGTACTTGTGATTTACTTTGAGGTACCCAGAAGAGAAGCTTCAAGTAAAACTGACACACTGGTTCTAACTCTTCAAAATGTGTTAGCCTTAAAATTCTAAGGCTTTTTTTGTTTTTCTCCATCTGACCTCCCCCTTTTAATCCAATAGAGGTGTGTGATAAGGGGGATCTGGTCTCCTTCCTAGTCCAGCTGCCCCTCCACCAGCCACCTTATATGGCATGTTGTGTGAACGTCTTCAAGACTCAGTCATTCTTGATTGTCTTCATCTTCTGTGTTGACCGCTATATACCCAATATTTAGAATAAAGCTTGACATATGGTAGCTGCACAATAAATATTAACTGAATGATTCTTGATGGACTGAATGACGGTATTAACATGATCCAGTGAAATCTACCAAGTGAATCTCCAAAATTTTTTATTACCACCAGCAGCAGGCAGTGACGCTGGCTGGTGGGAATATGATCTGCGTCCTTTGCCTGTTGACATCCTGGCAGAATACTGATGTGCATTGAAATAGCCAAACACTAGGTTTCAAGAAAGAAGACAAAGTTAGTTCACTAACTGGGTGGTTTGCCCCTGCATAATTACGCTTGAACAATTTTTTTATAGGAAATACAATTCAAATAATATACTTATACATGTTATTTTCCTCAGGTTCATGTGGACAAACTCGACATGTTTAGAAACATGCCTGACATTCTTCATCATCTCACGACAGACCGTCGCAGCCAGATCCATGCGTGTCGGCATCCAAAGGTACCTAGTTCATTGTTGTTCTTCCTGTTTGTGTGATCCATGAAAAACAGAATTTTAGGTCCAGAAGGAACCTCAGAAATGCCAGTTTCTAGGTTCTTTTTACAAATGTAAAAACTAAGACTGAGAGCCTAAGGTCATGCAACTCTACGTTGCTGTATCCATTACCGTAAATTTCATGCTTATTAAATAGACTCCGATACTCATAGGTTTTTAGTGAAATCTATTCATACACATTTGATACATGCTTATTTGTAATGAATGATATATTTTTAATGAAATTAGTAATACGTTAGAGCTTTTAATTTAAGAAAACATATTCATTATCCATCGCTATTTTTGAGGCTCATGGCAGGTGTACATTTATAAACTTTATTTTTCTTCTGCTCACTTGAGATAAATATCTAGCTAGAACTTTGCTTCGAACTGTGAAATAGTTACACGTGTTGCTGGTCCAGTTTCAAATGAATGTTGCCAGTGTCTTTGCAACTCAATGATAATCCGTTTTCTAACGTCACCCTAGAACCTCCCTTACTAAATGCTCTTCTGTTATTAAGTGCCAGGTATTAAATTTTGAATTTGCCTTAAACATTTTTTTCGTTTTAATTTATATAGTCATTCAACATCACTAATACTAATTAGTGATCTTCAAATGCAGTGGTATGTGTGATCGTAGTTTTCTTCTAAATTTTAAAATATCTTAGCATTTAAATGCTGAGTAATTTTTTATTTTAGTAAACATTGCGTCTATACATTTAGATAATTATTGTGGTGGTAATATTGGCTCCATTGGCCAAAAACCTAAAGTAAAGTTGCTCAGCCCTAAAATAAAGTGTAATTAAAAAAAAAAGAATTCTTATCCATAGCATGGGATATTCCACTTCAGACCACTGCAGGCCCCACGCCCCGTGCCCCATAAATCTTTTAATTGGCAAATTTCTTTTGCTTTGAATTTTCTCACATCCCACAAAGTAGCTTAATTTGTAACTGCGACTCCTGCTCCTGTTGTTTCCCACCTGGCTGCTTGCCTTGAAACTACTTCTAGCAGCTTAAGACATTTCTTAGGTCACGGGCCTTCAAAATACTGAACAGAACACAGCCTGCAGACCGTGAAGCTCTGTCACCCGCAGCCTCACACGGACAGCACCAAAGGCACCAGGTGGCATGTCATTTGGATGGAGTGCTAATGGTTTTGAAGGGTTCCCATCCAAACCTAGTGTCTTGGGGAAAATAGCCCCATTGTTTGTCACCGTTTGAAAAACACTTTTGTTATGTTTTTCTCCAACTTTATTTTGAAAAATTTTAAAACAGTAGAGTTGTAAGACTAGCACGAAGAGCGCCATGTACTCTTCATCTGGATTCCTCAGTTTGTTAACACTTGGCCATATTCACATTTGCCCCGTGTCCCAGTAGTGCGTTTTGTAGCCTGTGGAGGTGGAGTGGGGGCATCCAGGATTTCGCTAAGAATCGTGTGTTGCACCCATCTGACCTTTTTAGTCTCTCTTGATGTCGGTCAAGTCTCTAGCCTTTTCCTTTTCTTTCATCCCCTTGATATTTTTGAAGAGTCCAGGACATTTGTTTTGCAGAACGTTCCTCCATTTGGAGTTCTTGGATTGTTTCCTCACATGTCCCTTTTTTTTCAGGTCTGAAAACGTCCCTGCGTTTGTTTTTGAGACCCTGCCTCCAAGCAGATTTGTTGAACGTGTTGAACTGTTTTTCTATATTTTTAAAATCTTTTTCAGGCAGAGGAATATTTTCAGTGGAATAAATTACCGTGTGGCATCACTTCCAAAAATAGAATTCCGCTCCACACCATCAGCATTAAGCCATCCACGATGTGGTTTGGAGAAAGAAGCAGAAAAACAAATGTAATTGTGAGGTAAGAAAGCAGCGTCATAGATCTTTTGAGGGAAATCTGGCTCTGAGGTAAATTGTCTGATTTATTTCAGTTAAATGCAATCTAGCCTAAGCCCAAGAAGAGGACATATTATAATTGTGGAAAATAACTTCTCAAATTTAAACTCAAGAGGTGCTACTTCCAAACCTAGCTAATGGCTAATACATTAGCCCCCATCCCCTGAGGTCCACTCTAGTTAGGCAGATAAGATGGCTGGAGACTGAGGGCGTCTTGCTTGGTGGGGAGTTATGAATTGGTGTCATAGGGGATAGAAGCCCATGGTGCAGTAGAGAAGTGCCATAACCATCCTATTTCAGCAACATTCCCTTCACATCGGCTATTCAGAATGTCTGCAGACATTTATATTTCTAGAAAGAGTTCCTTTCTGTCCGAGGTAGAACTTTGTGATTGTAGGGTGATTTCATACTGGAATAGCCTAAATGGGAAGGCTCAAAATTTGGGACTTAGCTTAGTTTTGATAAGTGACCTTTGAATTTTGTTTTTCCATTTCCCCTTAGGACTGGAGAGAGTTCATACAGAGCTTGTTTTTCTTTTCACTCCTCCTACAGTGAGGTAAGAGGACTTCAGGTACTCGGAACCCAATTGCCAACGCCTGGCAGCCTTCATGGTATAGACGACAGTGCCCTTGGCTTCCAGGGGCATCTCTTTTTCTATTGCTTAAGATTTGTTGAGGCTTTTCCTGAAGAAATACAAAGAAAATATCTAAATGGATGAGCTATATTTACTAAGTACAAAGGAAATTGCTATTATCACCTGTTTTCAGCCTAAACGTTGAAGAATATGTATGATTAAGCTTTTCTTCCCATCTTGCTTCCTAAATATACTTTAACTTCCCCACTTCAGTTGTTCTGTTCACCCATCATAAAAGAATTATAACTCTTCTAAGGATTACTACAGGTAAAATCTCATTATAGGCAGCCTTAAGGTACTGTCCAGACTCATGGCTCTTCCAAAATTTGATTGCACTGAAAAGCCATTTAAAAAATAGTCCTGAATATTCAATTCAGTAGTGGGGAAGAAGAAAGATGATTGAGATGCAGACTGTGTGCTTAAGAAAGATATAGTAGAGTAGAAAGAGGGCTTAAAATAGTTTCATTCTGGTACTTTTTATAGACGAAATTGACCTACTAGAATGGGAACTTGATGTGTGTAATTTATTTGCAAAATCCTCATACATTTCCAAAGTAAATGCTAGCATCTTACAAGTACAGAGATTCAGTAATCTGAAGTATTGGAGAAAAAGCAATATAAAAGCAGACTTTTTATGATACTTTGTCGTATATAATTTTAGTTTTTCCATTTCTGCACATAAAAATCCATTTCCCACATGACTGTTATTTCTGTATTTGGAACACGTGGATATAGCTCTATAGCTCTGAGACAGTGAACCGTGGATGTGTTAATGATTTGAACAGGTGGAATCTTCCAGAGCTCCAGGCATTGGCATTCTTATCAAGTCAGCCATAGTATTGTAAATGATTTTTAATCATATTATCAAAGTACCACAGTGACATCTCTATTAAATAACTGACCTTAACTTTCAGGTACAAATAGGTTATCTGAGAGCAGCGTGGAAGTAGTTCATTTTGATGGTATAATTTAGTTAATGTTTTCTTCGTCAGTTTATCCTGAATCTTAGGTTGTTTCAGAGCCCCTTCCTGGTGATGTGTCCCGTGGGTTGGCATCTGGCTCAGCGTCAGGGTCCCTTCCTGGTGATCCCCTAGTGGACGAGTGTCCTTTCTGTCTCAGCCACAGGGAGGGCGTCTAACCGGGAAAAAGGGTGGGCCTGTTCCAGTTTTTCAGTCAAAATCTTCCTGTCTTATTTCTCTTCTTCCATGTAGTCAGCTGCCAAGTTGGGGAGCACAAACCTTCCTGGGATTTTATAAGACTACCTCCCAATAAGGGGCCATTTCCCTGCTTCTTGAGTCCGCGGAAGCGGCTGGCTGGCCTCTCGCCGCAGCCTCCTTAGATGAGCGGTGGTGCGGCGCTCGCTCTGCTTAGGCACCGTCCTTCAGAGCGTCTGGTGAGACAGAGAGGCTCTCCTGAAAACTGCTGGAATTAATAGGCCTACATCCTATGTACTACACTCATTGGACTACACTTCAAAATGTAAATAGTAGCTTTAAATTTCCTTTCGTTTTTTTTCTGCATACAGTTGATCGTCATTATGCGTGGATTCCTTATTTACAAATTTGCCTTCTCGCTAGGATTTGTAACCCCAGAGCCAGCGCTAGCGGCGCTTTGTGGTCGTTCGCAGATGTGCACAGCAGGGCGGTGGAAACTGAGTCGCCCGACCTGTGCATTCCCAGCTCCGGTGGAGCGAGGGGGCGCCCTGCCTTCGTGTTCAGCTCTCATATTCTCGTATCCTCAAGTCGTCCTTTTCGCGGTCTATTTAGTGCCGCATTTTTCATATTTTTGTGCTCCTTGTCAGTGATTTTACTGTTTAAAACAGCCCCCAAGCGTGGTGCTGAAGTGCTGTGTTCCTAAGGACAAGAAGGCTGGGATTTGCCTTATGGAGAAAATACATGTGTTTGAGAAACTTGTTGAGGCCTGAGTTATCATGCTGCTGGCTGGGAGTTCGCTATCAATGAATCAACGATATATATTAAATAAGATGTCTTTAAATAGAAACGCACATAGAACAAAGTCGTGTATTGATCGGTTGACAAAGATGCTGTGAGCGGGGTGCCCAGGAAGCCTGTGCTTCCCCTGGGAGCAGTAGTTCCCTGTTCACGGATTCAGTGTTGTGGTGACTTTATGGAAGGTAACTACTGCGAATAACGAGAAGTGACTGTGTTAATGAATTGTTCTAAGGCGGGCCTCTGACGAAAGGCTCTCGGCTCGCACAAGTGAGAGAAGCTGCCCATCTATTGGGTGTCTCTCTTCTCCTTGTGGCCGCTTCACCTCCGAGTGGAAGAAGTGAGTCTTTTATGGTACAGGCTGGACCTTACTTTCTTTATCCCGATTCCCTTCAAAAGCCTCAGATTCCTCCCAGCCTCAACTTTGGGTGGATTATGCAAATCATATAGGTTGTGGTCAGGTAAATAGTGGTTTCTATTTGCATGCCTGCCCTGAAAGTACAAAAGAAATTGTTTATGAAAAATATCTGAAGAATGGGTCTTCCTGTCTCTTCCCATCTTAATTGAGGGCGCCATTTTATTTTAATATGGATTATTGATAATTCCTGGGTTCCTTCCCCTTTTGATTTGGTCCTTTATTTGAAAAAGGCAGGTACTAAGAATTACTTTGTGCCTCAGTCTCCCCCTTTGCAGAAAGGAATAAAAATCTTCGTGCTACCATGACCCACTTCGTAATGGATGACTTTCTTGGCTCTTTAACCATGGGCCGGGTACCAGGCTAGGCACTTCACGTGCATTATCTCGTTTGTACTTTCAGATGAAGAATCTAAGACTTAGAGACTTAGGTAACTTGACCAAGATCACAAGCTCACCAAGACCTAATAAGTGACAAAGCTGATGCCACCTGGGTTGTAGAGATGTTTTGAGGAATAGTGACAGAGTTCCTCTGTTTAGCATTCTGAGCTTTGCAGAAAATCAAGGTAATGCATGATTGTCCTTGTTTAGATCGGAATAAACCATTCAAACAAATCAAGGAAGCTTGAAGATGCAGCACTTGGTATTGCTGGCAATTATTTGTCCGAGGAGAGAAATGCAACTCTTAAGACCTTGAGTTCTTGTATGGATTAAATACTCAGTTAAATTCTAACTTACTGGAAGGGGATTTGTTAAATCTGGCTCACCTTCTAAGACAAGGAGGCTAATGTCATTGAAAGAACTACAGAATCCTTGAATCCCATTCATCAGTGATCCTCAGCCCTTCCTGTGGAGCAGAATCCCCTGAAGAACGATGTACTGACTCCCTGGCCCCACTGTGCTCAGTGTTAAAAGGATCTCGGGGGGCGGGGCCTGAGCATTGGGTGTCTTTTTCCTAAGAGGGGACCCCGTGTGCAGCCGGCCCTGAGAACCACAGCCGGGAGCGAGTTCTGCATCTCCTTCCCCGGCCTCCCTTTAGCTGCTTCTCTAACACCCACATGTTTCACCCTACAGATAATTGGTGCTTTGTATGTTCCTCCTTCTAGATTAAAGATTTCTTGAGCTACATCTGTCCTGTGAATGCATATCCAAATGTCCTGCCAGTGGGCACAACTATGGATAAAGTTATAGAAAGGTAAGTAGTTACTCCTTGTGGAACTTGGGTTGTTGAACAGGATGGATCCAGAGAATAGTTTTGGGCCTGAGAACAGGGGCAAGGACGTAAAATGGATGTGGCTGTAATTATGTTTCTGGTTGGGAGCATAAAGGCTTTCTTCAAGCGGGTGTGTTAGATATAATCCTAAAGGCTGCTGGGAATCTGGCATTCTGCAGTTGGTAGTGAGGCCCTCGAAAAAGGGCAGGAGACCCTCAAATCTTATTTCTGTGCCATTTCGTATTTTGTCTTCACTGCGTCTTACCTGAATGAAGAGATCAAATTGGTGAGGTTCTTGCAAGAGAGCAGTAAGCCCCCATTCAACAGGGAAGGAGACGCAGCTGGCCGGCCTGTGTTCCCTGAGTGCCAGAGGGTGTCAGTGTATTCCTTGACAGTGTTTTAGGACAGGGACCTGCTTTTCTGCAGTGCAAGAGCAGAGATACAAGCTTCGCTTTCCCTCAATCCTACTATTAGACAGATACCCACCACCTTGTATTTAAGTGCTTATATTTACCAGTTTATTATATTGAAGTGATTTTTAATTACTAAACATTGCTTTTCTGTTTTTAAAAGTAGTTATGTGATTTCCCCCATGGTCAAGTTTTTATAATCTCTGTAAAGAACGCTTACACTCCAGCAGCTTTGCCAACAGGAAGAATAAAGTATTCATGTTCATTTCAGCCTAAAGCCTTTATGCCGCTCTTCCCAAAGCACTGAGCCAAAGTATAAACCACTCGGAAAACTGAAGAGAGCTAGAACACCGCACCTAGACTCAGGTAAGAAGAATGACCCTGGTTCAGAGGTGGGGGTTCCCTCAAGGCCGCTTTTCAGGGTGCTCTTGTCTGGCGACAGCTGCACTGGGTAGAAGTGGGCCTGGGACCCACTGTCCCTCAGATTTGTCACATGGTCTCAGGAAGCGCTTTGCCTTCCCGTTTCTAACCTGTAGAGTCAGGAGCGCTCTCTTTCCCAGGTTGAAGACACGTGGCGAAGGGAACTGTGCCTGTGTTGAATCGTGTTCTTAGCTTTCTGGAAATAGGCCCTGTGGTTTGTCTAGGCCATAAGGAGAGGCCGAGCTGTTATCCATGAACATTTCCTTCAAGACACTGGTAGATGCTGAGAATAGGAACTTTTCTTGTCCTCCTTCCCATCAGGTTGATCAGTAGGGCTTAGACAAGTGGGTTTTCTCCAGACTTCCCTACCTTCTTTCGTTGCTACTTTGATTTTCCAGCGAAGAGCAGAGGCGAGCTCTGAGGGAGAAATTAGAACTTCCGATTCTGAGCAGCGCTCTCCTGCTGTACAGCATCCAGCTTTCGTGGTTAGGATTCTGGATTTTCCCTGCTTTGCTGGAGAGCCAGTTATGTACCTTAGTGCTGGTACATGACGAAAACATAGCAGATAAGAAAGATGCTGTTTATTGAGCACCTATTGTGTGGCAGCTGTTGTGCTAGGTCTTTTACAGATATTAGAGCTAAACCTCAAAATAAACCCACAAGGGACATCGTCCCAATTTGACCAACGGGGAAACTGAATCTTAGAGTGAAGTAAATCCCCAAGGTCCAGCGGGAAGGAAGCCGTGGGCCTGGGGTTCTCATCTGGGCCTGGCTTTCCCATCTCCACTCCTGCATTTCCTCCCGTTTAGAATCTAATTGAAAAACATTTAGACGCCAATTCCAGGACTGACACAGTAAGCCTTTCACTGGTGTCTGAAAGAAAGCGCATTTGTTTTTGTTTCAAGAATGGAAAGGTTCTAGAAAAACAATTCCATTAATTTCAAATGTCAAATCTATCTTGTAATGCATCTTTTAATCCTTTTCATATACAAACTTAATTGTAGGTTTTTTAAAAACAGCTTTACTGAGGTATAATTGATATACTATAAATTGCATTTAAAGTGTCCAATTTGATACATTTTTACATATGCATATACTTGAGAAACCATCACCATAATTAAGATAATGAAAATGTCCCTCATCCCCAGGTCTTCTTGTGCCACTTTGTAATTCCTCCCAACTGCTCCTCCAAGGCCCCCCCCCCCCCCCATGCCAAGGCAACCACTGATCTGCTGTCACTATAGATTAGTTGGCATTTTCTAGAATTTTCTATAAATAGAATCATGCAGTATGTCTGGCTCATTTCACTCAGCGTTATTTATTTTGGGACTCATTTATGTTGTTGCATGTATCAACAGTTCATTCTTTTTTATTGATAAGTAGTATTCCACTGCATGGATCTACCACCATTTGCTGATCCGCTCCTCTGTTGATGTACATTTGGTTGTTTCCACTTTTTGGTTATCACAAATAAAGCTGCCATGAACATTCGTGTATCAATCTTTGTATGGACGTATGCTTTCATTCCTCGGTGTGGTTCATGTGCTAGCTGTATCTTTGAGAAACTGCCAGATCGTTTTCTGAAGTGTTGGACAATTTGCATTCTCGCCAGCTGTGTCGAGGAGTTCCATTGCTCTATGTTGTTGTCAGTATTGGCGTGGGCAGGCTTTTTAATTTTAGATATCTAATGTGTGTGGCAGTATCTCCTGGTTTTAATGTGCGTTTTTCTAACGACTGATGAGGTTGAACATCTTTTAATGTTCTTATCTGCCATCTGTGTGTCTTCATGGGTGAAGGGTCTGTTCAAATCTTTACCCATTTTTAATTGTTTAGTTGCTTTCTTATTACTGAGCTTTGAGAGTTTCTGGATACAAGTTTTTAATCAGTTACATGCTTTGCAAAGATTTTTCTCCCCGTCTATGGCTCATCTTTGCAGTCTTAACAGTCTTCTGAAGAGGAGAAATTTTTAATTTTGATAAGGTCAATTTGGTAATTTTTACTTTTTTTGGTATTGTAACTGAGAAATCTTCGCTTAACCCAAGGTCACAAAGATTTTCTTCTGTGTTCTGGTAGAAGTTTTTCTAGTTTTAGGTTTTACATTTAGGTCCATGATCCATTTTTGAGTTATTTGTAAATGGTATGACGTACAGATAGAAGGTAATTTTTTTTTTTTGCACATGGACATCCAAACATTCTGGAACCATTTATTGAAAAGACCATCTTTTCTCCACTGAATCTTCTTTGCACTTTTGTTGAAAATCAATTGACAATATACGTGGGGGCCTAGTCTGGACTTTGTGTTATGTTCTGTGATCTCTGTCTTGACACCAATACTGCCCTGTCCTCATTATTGTAGCTTTATAAATCTTGAGGTTAACTGATGTAAGTTCTCAACTTTTTTGTTCTTTTTCAAAATTGTTTCGGCTATTCTAAGCCTTTGCCTTTCCATATGAACTTTAAAATCAGCTTGCCAATTTGTACGAAAATATTCACGATTGGGATTTTGATTGGGATTGTGTTAAATCTGTTGATCAATTTGGGAAGAATTGACATCTTAATAATATTGAGTTTTCAGATCCATGAACATGCTGTATCTCTCCATTTACTTAAGTCTTTAATTTCTCTCAGCAGTGTTTTGTAAATTTCAATGTATAGGTCTTGCAAATCTTTTGGTAGATTGACTCCTAGTATTTCGGGTTTTTTTATTCTATTGTACATAGTATTCCTTTTTAAATTTCAATTTCTGATTGTTGCTATTACATAGAAATACAGTTGATTTTTGTATTTTGATGTAACTTGCAGCCTTGCTAACCTCACTTATTATAGTGGCTTTCTTGTAGATTCCACTGCATTTTCTACATAGATGATCATGTTGTCTGTGAATATAGACAGTTTTACTTTTCCTTTCCAATCTAGATGCTTTTTTCTTTTTCTTGCCTGATTGAACTGGCTAGACGGCTACTACAATATTGAACAGAATTGGCGAGGGTGGACATCATTGCCTTGTTCCCGGTCTTCGAGGGAAAGCATTCATTCTGTCACCATTAGGTATGATGTTAGCTGTAGGTTTTTCATTGATGCTTTTCATCAGGTGGAGGAATATTACCAATATTCTGAGAGTTTTATCAAGAATGGATATTGGATTTTGTCAGATGCTTTTTCTGCATTTATTAAGATGATCATATAGTTTTTCTTTTTTAGTCTGTTGATATGGTGAATTACACTGATTGATTTTCAAGTATTAAACCAACCTCCCATTTCCAGAATAAACCTCATTTGGTTGTGACTTATTTATCCTTTCTAGCTATTATTCAATTTGATTTGCTAAAACTGTGTTTCGGGGGCCAGCCCAGTGGCACAGTGGTTAAGTTCACACGTTCTGCTTCAGCGGCCTGGGGTTCGCCAGTTCGGATCCAGGGTGTGGACCTACGCACCGCTTGTCAAGCCATGCTGTGGCAGGCATCCCATGTATAAAGTAGAGGAAGATGGGCATGGATGTTAGCTCAGGGCCAGTCTTCCTCAGCAAAAAGAGGAGGATTGGTGGCAGATGTTGGCTCAGGGCTAATCTTCCTCAAGGAAAAAAATTAATTAATTAAAAAAAGTTTTTCATCTATGTTGAGGAGCCTTTATATTGGTCTGCAGGTGTTTTGACTTTTTTTCATGAATTGTATTTGTGTAGTTTTGGTATTGGGTTACTGTTGGCCTTGTTGTTGTGACATATCCCTTTATTCTCCATTTTCTGGACCAGTTTATGAAGGATTAACATTATATCTTTCTTAAAGGATTGGTAGAATTCACCAATGAAGTCATCTGGGCCAGGAATTTTCTCTGTGGGGAGGTTTTAAACTACAATTTCTTTAATAAGTAAAGGGCTATTCGGGTTATATATAGCTTTGGGAATTTGTATCTTCCAAGGAATTTGTCCATTTCATCTAAGTTGCTGAATTTTTGGGCATAAATTTGTTCATAATATTCCCTTATTATTCTTTTAATATCTGCAGAATCTAGTGATGTCATCTCTCTCACTCCTGATATTAGTTATTTTAATTTGTGTCTTTTCTCATTTTTTCTTGATCAGTCTGTTAGACGTTGGCCAATTTTGTTGATCTCAAAGAGCCAGCTTTTTGTTTTGTTTTGTTTTGTATTCTATTTCATTGATTTCCACTCTGATCTTTCTTCCTTTCATCTGCTTACTTTGGGTTTATTTTGCTCTTCACTTTTAAATTTCTTAATGTGGGAGCTGAAGTCACTGATTTCAGACTGCCTTTTTTTTCTCCCTAATGCGTGCATTTAGTGCTATTCCCTCTTTAGTCATTATTTCATAAATTTGTTTTCCTTTTTAATTAGTTCAAAATATTTTCTAAGTTTTCTTTTGATTTCTTCTTTGATGCATGGATTATTTAGAAGTATGTTAGTTGCTGAATTTTGGAGGATTTTGCGGAGATATTCTGTCATTTAATTTTATTGTGGTCAGAGAAAGTACTGTGTATGATTTTTACTGACCTTTATGGTCCAGAATAATGGGCCACCTCGGTACATGTTTCATGTGTACTCAGAAGAAATATGTATACTGCCATTGGATGGAGTGTTCTGTAAATAATTAGGTCAAGTTAGTTGGTAATGTTCAAGTCCATGTCCTTGCTGATTTACTTATTCTGTCTACTTGCTCAATTATTGAGAGAAAGTCACTGAAATCTCCAGTTAGAATTCTGGATTTGTCTATTTCTCCTTGCAGTTCTCCCACTTTTTGCTTCATCTGTGTGACGCACTGTTATTAGGTACACACACGTTTATGTCCTCTTGAGGAACGGACCCCTTTATCCTTAGGGAATGACTCTGTATCCGTGGTAATATTCTTAGCTTTGAAATCTTCATCAGATATTAACATAGCCACTCTGGTTTCTTCTGATTAATCTTAGCATGGTACATCATTTTCCATCTCTATA